TCATCGGGGCGTTCATATGTGGATGATATGAGAAAAAGAATTGCTTACATTCTTTCAAGTCGCCAAGGGAATACAATAGCATGATGCAATACCCAAGTCCCAAGATTCCATTCACAGCAACACTTCCGACCATAGCAATTGGAACATCTCGTGCGGGGCGTGGAATCTCTTCTGCTAAATGACAAGCCGCATCATAACTTTGTGGAATAATTAGTACATCGCAATAAGGGTCAGGATACAACTTACCCAAGGAATGGATATACAGCACTCAAAAGACCCACAAGCCATGATACCCCGTCACTTTCCCAGCCACTGGTATTCGTTACTTCGGTAAAAACAAAATGAGCATCGTGCTTGGGTGCCATTGCCCCAAGTACTGCCATGATCGCTACGATACCAGCTAAATGTAGAATGCCTAAGACTATCAGTTCTGTTGGACTATCTTATTGTGTTTCGGAGGAAGCTACCTGACGCTAAGTTTGTGTGTGGAAGTATCTTCGATCCCCATATATTCACAGCAGCAGAGTATAGAAGGACCAACCAGTAGAATAGCATACCCTGCCATCTTGTTGGCACATAGCTGTCTGGATTATTGGGTGTTACGAGGCCTTGGAATTGCAGTCCCGCGGAAAATGCCGCCGATGCTGTGAGAACAATTTGCCCACCGATGGAGATCCAGCCTGTGAACCAGGACGCAATCTTCATCTGGCTTTTTGGGGCCAGAGCAGCGACGAAATGATATTGTCCTGTGCCGTGTCGGCGTTAGACAATATTTTTGAATGAGTTTGTTTGTTTGGTTGTTACTTACCGCCAGCTGTCGGCCAGATAGACGCAATTTCAGCTAGTGATGATGATATCGCCAGACTCCCGATCAACGAAATACAGCTACACAAATATCAACAAGATTAGTCTCTTTCGCGTGTCTGATATGACTTACTAGTTATAGAAAAGGTATGGAGCTCCGCCATTCGCCAACGCTGCTGCTACAACGCTGGATAATGCTTCCCGAGTTGCCATCAAGCAAACACATAATGAGCCAAGCGACCAGACCGAGAAGTCTTTGCGTAGTTCCTCTACATGCCCTGCTACTATAACCTCTCCCTTCTCTTCTTCTGTTCCGATGAATGAAGGCCGGGACGCTTTCATCATGTCATCTTTCTTGCACTCGGTTTCGAAATCCATGTTGAAAGAATACTTCACAATAAATGTTCAAAAATTGATATTGTTAAGGTTGTTCGTACGATACCAGAATCAAAAACTGTCAAGTAAGTAATATAAACATTTCAAATCAAGATAGACGAGCAAGCGAGGAGGTGTAGGAGACTCCAGGCCTATCTCTCTCTATCTCATATCAAACCTCCAAGCAACAGAAAGCGGATCCTTTCCGTTATCAAGTCCATGCAAGGACTGTAATCTTGAACTGTCATGTTGAACTAGTCCGAAAAAGCTTAATAAGATTGAATGCGGACGTTGAGACGAGGATGAAACGTCTGCCATGTACAATCCTCACAGCATAACAGCGCTAGTGGATTCTATTGTTTGGGACAATCGGTCATGGGATTGGTGATAGGTATTAGCGATACCGGGTATTATAGAGATACCCGTACCCGTCTTTGAATGACAACCGAGATACCCGAGATAAACGGGTGGAAATCTGTATCTACCAATCATGTGTGGGATGGGATGGAGCGTGCAATCGGAAGAGTTGTATTTATGTAATGTGTATCATTTACAAGCCGGGTAAGTCATGGCGATGTTGGCACATAACCGATAGTCTGAAGTTTGCCAATGACTTCGCAACACGCTTTGTAACTATATTAGTTTGTCTTCCCTCTCAGCTACTTTACATTTCACATCTTTCTTCATATTCTTTATTCAGGTTGCACAGTAAAGTTACATTCTTCAGTTTATCAATTAGATTTATTTTTTGCCAACCAGAATCCAATATCATTGCCACCACAGCACGAACCACACCAATAACCCCGCACCATGGCCCCTCCAACCTCAAGACCTCACCCCCTCACTCAACTCTCCCTTCCCGAATTCAACATCGCCCGTGATATCGTCTTTGCTGCCCACAAACCAGCCCTCATATCCTTCCGCACCATCGCTCTCGAGGAACCTCTCAAAGCCGAGCTCCAAAGATTTCTAGAAATAGAACATGCCGGCGCCTTGGATGCTTCAACTCCTTATCCAAAGAGACTCGCAAGAGTAACGTATGATGTCATTGGAAGTAGTAAGATACCCAAATATCACGAGAGTCTTGTGGATGTTGAGGAGAGCGTCGAGGTGGACAGGGAAGTGATTAGTGAAATGCATCATGCTATGTTGACTTTGTAAGTCATATTCCTCATTTCCAATTTTTGCATCACACAACTAATACATTCCCCAAGAGGCGAATTCGACGAGCTAGTCAAAGCCGTCTGGGCATCTCCCGTTTTCAAAAAAGAACTCGCACAACTGAGTATCCCAGAAGGATTCGAAGTTGTCGTCGAGCCGTGGCCGTATGGAGGAAGTATTACCGAGGAAAATCCTCGATACTTCCAAGGTCTCTGCTTTGCCCAAGACACTCGTAATAAAAACACAGATTCAAATTTCTACGGGTATCCTCTTCCTTTGATTCCAGTCATGGATTATTCTACAAAGGAGATTGTCAGAATTGATAAACTCGCTACGGGTGGTATTGAAGATGGGTTTGAAGTGGGCACGCATGACAAAGAGATCTTGAAACATTGCAAGCCGGCGGAATATGTACCAGAGTTGTTGGAGAATGGGACGAGAAAGGATATGAAGCCTATTAATGTGGTGCAACCCGAAGGAGCCAGTTTTACGGTTGGAGAAGATGAAAGTTTGGTGGAGTGGCAGAAGTGGAGATTCAGAGTGGGATTCAATCACAGAGAGGGAGCTACCATTCATGATGTGCATTATGATGGTAGAAGTGTTTTGTACAGATTGAGTGTTTCTGAGATGGTAAGTTTGATCAATCCTTAGATTGTCTTAGATTATGGTGCTAATGGTTCCATGAAAAGACTGTTCCATACGCAGATGCTCGATCTCCGTACTTCCGCAAGCAAGCCTTCGATTTCGGAGATGGTGGTGCAGGGAACTGCGCCAACAACCTCGAGCTAGGATGTGATTGTCTAGGTGTCATCAAGGTTCGTATTCCCTTCAGTTCCTAATCTTAATTGATTCACAATACCTAACAATCTCAGTACTTTGACGGCACCAAAACCGAAAGCAACGGCACCGTCTCCACAAGCCCCAACGTCATCTGTCTCCACGAGCAAGATGCCGGCATCGGCTGGAAGCACACAAACTGGCGTACCAACCGTGCAGTCGTCACCCGTCACCGCGAACTAGTCGTTCAATTCATCATCACTCTCGCTAACTATGAATACATCTTTGCGTACAAATTCGATCTCGCTGGTGGTATCACCGTCGAGACACGTGCTACGGGCATTGTTTCCGTTGTCTCGATTGATGCCGGTAAGAGAAAGAGTGAATACGGAAATGTTGTGGCTCCTGGTGTTTTGGCGCAGAATCATCAACACATATTCTGTGTGCGTATTGATCCTGCTATCGATGGGCCAGCCAATTCAGTCATGATTGAAGAATCCCATGCCGTGGCTGATAAGAAGAGGAATCCATATGGCAATTTCTATGAAGTTGTTTCCAAACAAGTGGAAAAAGCATCGTGGTTAGATGCTAAGCCAATGAACAACATGGTTGTGAAGATGGTCAACCCAGGGAAGAAAAATCCAATCAGTGGCAAGAATGTAGGATACAAATTTATCCCAGCGGCGACACAAATGTTACTAGCGCAAGATGAGAGCATTCAAGCTCAACGGGCAAGATTTGCTCAACATCACGTGTGGGTTACGAAATACAAGGATGGCGAACTATATGCTGGTGGTAGATACACGCTCCAGAGTCGCAAGGAAATTGACGGAGTTGGCGATGCAGTTGCGAGAGGGGAGACTTTAGGAAAGGATGGTGAAGATGTGGTTGTCTGGAATTGTTTTGGATTGACACATAACCCAAGAGTGGAGGATTGGCCAGTGATGCCGGTGGAGATCCATGAGTTGAAGATCAAACCGGCAGATTTCTTTGAGGCGAACCCATCGATCGATGTTCCTAGCTCGAGGAACATGTCATCCAAGTTGGCGGGAGAGGGAAGTACGAAGAAAGAGGAAGAGAGTTGTTGTAAAGCTAATGGATCCAAGTCGTGACTAGGAGGAAGTTTGAAGTAAATGAATAAATAAATAGCGTCTGTACAAATAGCATTGCGAATTAAATAAATAAAAATTGCATCTCATAATCTCCAAGAATATGATATACCCAAACGTGTACGGAGAATTCTGCGGACACGCCACAATACATGAACTTTGGTCACCTCGTGCATCCTTGGAGAACGAGATACTGATATAAGTACGGAAACGACCAAAAAGGTATTCACACTACGTAAAGCCTCACAAAAAACTAGCTTTTACGAAAGTCAACAATGCAATGCAGCATGTAACACAGTTTAACAATTGTCTAAAGCCTGGAAAGCAGAGACGAGGCGTAACAAGGATGTGAGATCATCTTCCAAGGTTGAAGCATTTGGAGCGCGGAAAACAGCCGCACTCCATCTGCAGAAGCAAAGCAATTCACTAGATAATCAGAAAGCGGGATCATGACAGACTTAAGTCTTAATTCTATAGTTTTCGATGTTGTGAAGGCGAATTCTTTTCATCTTTCATCACAGCTGACCTCTGGCGCTGTTCGTGATGTGGACTCAAGGTCTCGCTATTGATCGCTAATCCATTTTTTTCAGCCAAGTCAAAAGTAAGGCCTACGAGCTTTGCCAACAGCGTTGTGGGTGAATTAAATGGAGAATTGGCTTCATGTTGATACGCAGATATTTTCTATGCCTTTCTTGGTGGAAACAAGGGGCCAGATTGCTTCGACATCTGGGACAACCACACGAATGTGTATCAGAAGATTTTGTTAACTCACGCTCAACCGATAGAAACAGTGAACGACTTTGGCCATCCACTAACAAAACCAGATTGATCAGTCTCCATACCGGATGAAACATCATCATATGGAAAAGCATATCCCCGACCATGGTGATTTGCTTCATGAACAAGTCGAGCATAGTGATTTGAGACCTTGTGTCGATAAAATTCCGATACTCTTTCCTTGTGTGGCTGATGATTGTTGCTTAACAATGTCGATCGATTGAGTGCCGCACTAATACGAGCCGTGAGAGGTCCTGTCGGCCCAGCATTGTTGGAAAATGGGCCAGAACTACAACTAAAGATATCTGCAGTAGATGGCTTCGAGAAAGTCGCCAGGCCAGGAAATGTTAATTGCCCATTGCCTACACGGCCCTCTACCTTTCCCCATTCAGCTTGGGTGTCGACAATCAATGGTGTATGTGTGTATTTATCCCACACTTCATTGACGTAAGATTCATAATAGCCATCAAAACCCGGTTCATGATTGGGGCTTAATACTCGAAGTTTTCGACCACCACTTTCTACAACCAATTTGTCCCACCCTGCGCCGTCAATTTGACTTTGTGCTTTTAGGCCTTCGCAGATAGTCTCTAGACCATCTGCTTTCAGGCCATGAATTTCTTGTGGCCTACCGTTTTCGGGTATAAGTTTCATAGAAATTGGCAAGCTGACAAAGTCGACATAACTATTGCGAATTAGCAATCTTGCAGGGTACTGGGCAATGGGCAGAGCTACCTTATATTGGCATAAATTTGAGTTTGATTGAATGTAAACTCGCAAAATGCCCAGTTTGTATTGATATTATGATCAGAAGGATTGGTGACAGATGGCTCAACCAATGCCGGTCCTGGGTTGACGAAAAACACCAATTTCTTGCCTATTGAGAACCAGATTCTTCCTCCAGCAAGAAGAGGGATTGTGGCAATAGTGGTACTACCCTGTTTCCCCAATTTAATAGCACAATCTGCTGAAAGTGGATGCACGGTGTGAGGTGGGGAGTCAGGGTAATATGGTGTCTTTCCATCGGCTCTCAGTAGAAAGACACGGTTGTTATTGTTTAATGCCAACCCCGTGATATAAGCATAAACTTCATCCGAAGGGTAATGATTTTGTAGTTGAATATCTAGAGTTTGAGGCATAATAGAATATATGAGAATAAAGCAATAGTAGACGTGTGGCAGAAGTTGTGTTGACGAGTTAGTGAAGCTTGTAAATAGTATATGGGAAGAAAATACAGAGAGTGTAATCTGAGAACTGTGGGGTAGCGAAATCGAGTATTTAACATGAGAATGCCCAATGACGTATGTAACAGCCGACTTTCATGAATTGAATGTCTTTTGAACAATCAGAATGCAAGAGATAGGAAAGATATCAGACTCAGCCCCGTAATGGTGGCGCCTTGTAAGTTATTTGCCATAGGACAAGTTAGAGAAGAGATGCTGATGTCGCGACGAGACCACGAGATAAACATTCATGCCATGATCATTTGTCGAGCCATTCATAGTGATTGGTTTTGCGAATTGGTGTGATGAAAGGGAAATAAATGAAGTTGAGGAAGAAGGAAGGTTCGGAAAGGGGTTTCTTCAAAGACGTTCACCATGTCCAAAGAGATATCTAGGGAATAGCTCTATCTAGGTAGCTGAAGTAATGAATTTGATTGACGCTCCGCTGGGCCACTGCCGTGGAGGCCTTTTCGCTCCGCTCTGGAAAATTAATTTGAATGCCTTGGTTGTTGAATGAGTAGACAATATCTACTAGGTAGGTAAGGAAGTAGATAAAGAAAGGGGGGTTTGTGTAAATATGTCCTAAACAGATACATACAGTATACCGTAGAATAATTGAAATGTCAAGGAAACAAAAACGTGAATGGTTCGAATGGGTGACTAAAGCAGTATCATGTGACAGTCACATGCTTCCCTGCCTAGCCACTCTCAGCCACTATCTTCAGACGACCTCGGGAGCGGTGATGACTAATAATTGCACACTAGCTGCGCACACAAAACCCACCCATCATCTTTATAGTTTTCCACCTTTTTTTTGTCCCGAAGAACGGCAACCATCAAACATCATCAACGCAATCAACAACAGCTGCACAATCAAAAAAAGCACAGATAAACCCCTCGAGTATCAAACCTTGTCACCTTGTCATCTATTTTTATATAGTGACGGTCTGGGGAACAACGGCCAAAATGGTATATGATTGGGATAACAAACAGGAAATATGCTATAGTATGTATATTGAAGAGAAAAAGTCATTGGAAGAGATTATGGAATACTTGAAAGAAAATATGTCATTTAATCCCTCGTAAGTTTATCTCTTTTTATATCTTATCAAGCTTCTTCACATGGCATTGCGCTACGAGCTATAATCATAGCTGTAGTAAATTATGGCATCCATAGCATCATATCATGCATCATATATCGATATACCCACCCGTACCACTCGCTTTGACAATCATCGCGATTGACCTTTACTGACATTTTATAAGTAAACGCGCATTTCAAACCCAATTCAAAAAATGGGGTTTTCCTTCGAAACAAAATCCTGCACACAAGAACGAACCACTCGTTCAACGCATCAAAGAACTATGGGACATCAATACATCACAGCGCGATATGGTTACCATTCTCGAACGAGAGGGTTGGGATATCAAGGAACGTGAACTAATGCGCGTCAGAAACAAGAATCGCTGGCTTCTACGAGTACCTAATGGGAATAAATCAAAGAAACAAACGGATCAGGATGTGGAAAGTCAACTACAACAGGCATTTTACAATAATGGAGCAATGCTAGAGGGAGAACAACAGATGGAAGGCTCGATGGAAGGGCATATGGAAGGCTTACCTCCAGCTTCATCCATGTCCAAGGAAGATTCCAGAGCTGAATCCCCGCCACTTAGTCCTGAAGTCATGCAAAAGAGAAAAGAGCGTCTATCCAAATTGGCGGCCGAATCCGATGAAAAATGGAATACTCGCAAGCGTCGTCGTCGAACTCGTGGCTGGGCTGGTCTCCCAGCAGATCCTCCAGGGCCTCCCCGATTCCCTTCCGAAACCACCATCGATGAAAGCAAAAATTTCTTGAGACTTGATAATCTTTTGTATCGTGATATAAGAGCTAGATTTCAACGCATATGTGAAGAAGCAGGTATCATAAAGAAGACACTCGCTGGGCCTGAGCGTTGGGAAGCTGCAAAGGATAGCCTCATACAAGAGAGTGAACATCTACAATCAGTCTTTTGGAATACACAAGAAAATCTGGATGCAAGAAAGCTGGCTCTCGATGTTGTTTGCGGCGACGTGACAAAACGAATGCGAACATTGGAGCGTCGTATGACCATTGCTGAAGCCAAGAATGCATTGGGAGTAAATCCAGAACAGTCCAGGGAACTTCGTAATTCTTTCTATCAGATATTGAAAGCTGATCATTTCACCAGTAAGCTTGAAGCTGGAGAAGAACACTGGCAGGAGCTCAAGACATCCTGGATCAATGGCTCAGAGCTACTACTAAATCTACTTGCTGGGGGAGACGCTGATCCTCAGCATGCGCAACGAGTCAAGGCAATGGAGGTTTTATGTCGAGACGTCATGAAGCGTCTTCGAGATGACCAGACCAAACGTGATCCAACTAGGAAGAAGAGAAAGTTTGAGAATACTTTCCAGCCTGATCAAGCTATGGACCAATTCCACCACAGCCAAGAGGAAACTCCAGACTTCCAACAAGACCCACAGGAAGCTCTCATTCAAACAGCAGTGCATGCTCATGCCCACTCGCAGAACCAAGTTCAGTCACATATGCAAATACCAGAATCTCACATGCACACACAAGCTTGTCAGGCCCACGCTCAAGCTCAAGCTCATGCTCAAGCTCATGCTCAAGCCCAAGCTCACCAACAAGCTCAGGCTCAGGCTCATGCTCAGGCCCAGGTTCATCAACAAGTTCAGGCTCATGCCCAATCCCAACCTCAAGCTCACACCCCCGTTATGGTGAGCCATGGTAATATGCAGAATCACACTGATATGCATATTGATCCATCTCAGATTGATCCATCTTTACTTAACGCAGCCTCCAATGATCCAAATTTAATGGTTCGTGGGATGCAAACCCAATTTGCGGATCCCCAATATACAGATCAACAATTTGTCAATCAAGCTGCACAAGCATTCCCATCTGTTACTTCTCCATCTCTACCAGTTTACATTCGGTTGCACCCAGAATCACACATAACCGCCCCCAATCCTTTATGGATTGCGATGTTGAACGGTACCTCTCTGGAAGAACTACGTCGGGTAGCTATAAGCAAATTTCCAAATACAATGGTGGGTCGTGTCGCCGGATCTATGGGAGGATCACCTGAACAAGAAGTGACCATACCCATTGACAATGACAGTGAAATGGAGGCTTATTTGGGCACTTGTGTGAAGCCACACTTCATTGTTGAGTTGTTAACTGGATGGAAGAATGCCTAGGCAATTAGTGAGGGATAGTTTATTGATTGGGATCACAGCGGCGTTCGGGCAGGATGGGAATGGTGGAGTCTACGGTGGCCTGCTTACTCTCCTATAGGAAGAGAGCCGGGGCGTTTCAGACTGGTGATAAAAGCATAATATGTTGTATGCAATCCTTCAGTTTCATCTCCTTAAATGAGAATAGAGAGTGGAAGGTTGATGACCTAGACCTAGGCATGCACTCTTTGCTCCATAGTTGATATTGTACCGTTTCCCTTCAACTGTTTATATTCTTTATCAAACCAAAGGTTTCAATAAAGATAATTATTATAAATCATAATTCAGAAACTATGTCAAGATAATGATCAAAACGCACTATCCCCCGTCAGTATTTAATCAACAGATAATTAAGCACCATGACTAAATTGACAGACTGAGCAATTGATGCACTGGATTACGTGCTGAAAATGTGTGGGGAAGCGAAGCCTTCCGTTGAAGCTTGGATGGCTTTTGGATCCTCAGATAGATAAATTATTTCCGAGCCTTGCGAGATAAGAAGTATTTATACTACCACCACCGCGCAAACCCAAAAACCCGAAACAAAATCTGTTTATACTGACCTGCGAATTCAATGCAAAGTCCCTTGACTTCAATCGATATTTGATTTATGTCGTTCCCTAGAAGGGTCCCTTCATCGGCCCTGCTGTCAAGCTTGCGCTCATCCTCATCTCGATCCCAATTTTGTCTCCGATTTCACGCAAGCAAATTAAGATATGCATCCACAGAGCAAAACTTAGGAGAAGGTCGATCATTCAAAGGGCAACTTTACGAAAGCACCCAGGCGCGGTTGATCAAAGAACGCGCGGAAAGGCAACAGTACTCTAAGAATCGGAATGAAAGTGCTGGAGGAAAGAATTCGGCTTTGACATTCGGTGCGCAGATATTATTTTTTAGACTTTGATAGCATATTGGACACTGCTGACGAATCGACTGTACAGTTATCATATCGGTGGCTATAGGAGGATATTATTTTGGCTCCTACAGGAATCCCGGTGCACCTACGTCCTCCACTACCCCTCTTTCAACCACAAAATCTCTTCGACACAATACGGGCCGTTCAAATCTCGAATCTGCGTGGGCAGACTTTGTCGAGATAGTGGGCAAGGAAAATGTTTCTACCATCGATTCAGATCTGGAGAGCCATTCGGGCAGTGAATGGTCATCTCATTTGAGAAAGCCTAGTGAAGTACCATTTATGGTGGTTTCCCCTTCATCAACAGAACAAGTAAGCGAGATTATGAAGATCTGCCATCGAAGGAAAATACCCGCTACTGCATATAGTGGAGGCACAAGCTTGGAAGGTCATTATGCTCCTACACGAGGTGGCATTTGCATAGATTTCGGAAGGATGAACAAAATTCTAAAGCTACATAAAGATGATATGGATGTGGTTGTTCAACCAGCTGTTGGCTGGGAACTCCTCAACGAAGAGCTGGCGAAGGATAATCTATTTTTCCCTCCAGATCCAGGTCCAGGCGCCATGATAGGAGGAATGGTAGGAACTGGATGCAGTGGGACAAATGCATATAGATACGGTACCATGAGGGAATGGGTCATGAATTTGACTGTTGTCTTAGCTGACGGAACAATCATCAAAACAAGACAGAGACCTAGAAAAAGTAGTGCTGGATATGATTTGACTAAAATGTTTATTGGAAGCGAAGGAACATTAGGATTAGTTACTGAGGCTACATTGAAGGTCACTACGAAGCCAAATACTACCAGCGTGGCAGTATGCAGTTTTGAAAGTATCAAACAAGCAGCGGATTGTGTTGGAAAGGTTTTCACCGAAGGCGTACCGATTGCCGCCATCGAAATTTTGGATGACAATCAAATGCTGAGCATTAACAAATCCGGTATGACAACCAAAGCATGGCTCGAAGCACCCACACTTTTCTTCAAATTCGCAGGGACGCCTAATGCTGTCAAAGAGCAAATCAGTATTGTTCAGAGGCTAGCAAAGGCAACGGGAAGCAAAACTTTTGAATTTGCGAAGAATGCAGAGGAACAAGTTGAGCTATGGAGTGCAAGGAAAGAAGCTTTATGGTCTGTCATGGCGATGCGAGAAAAAGATGGTGATCATGTGTGGACTTCAGATGTTGCTGTACCAATGAGTCGATTGCCGGAAATCATTGAAGAGACGAAAGCGGATTTGGCCAAGAGTGGATTGTTTGCTTCCATCGTGGGGCACGTTGGAGACGGTAACTTTCATAGTGAGTATTTTAGGGTTTCAGCTTGTCACAAAATATACTAACACGTACAGCTATTGTCCTTTACAACGATACCCAAAGACAAATTGCAGAGGAAGTAATGCATCGAATGGTCAAGAGAGCCGTGGAAATGGAGGGTACTGTGACTGGTGAGCATGGAGTTGGATTAATCAAGAGAGATTATCTGAATCATGAATTGGGCGAGAGCACAGTTGATGCTATGAGAAGGGTATGTGCCAAACTATTTTGCCATTCAGTTATATTACATTTACTAACACATTATAGCTAAAATTTGCATTCGACCCCTTATGCTTATTAAATCCAGATAAGGTTATGAGAGTCGAGAAGCCTAAGCCAGGAGAAGTTTCAGAATGGTAGTTTAAATAGAAAATACCAATAAAATAGTTTGAAGAATGTAATCTTACAAACCTGGATGCCACAGTGATGGTAAAGGAATCACCTTTTAAAGACATGTACAGAAATTAATAGTTGAGTCAACTAGATAAGATAAATATTGTAATTGTAAGACATTGAATAGCAGTCCGCAAACATAGAACCTCAACCATACATTCCAACCCAATCCAATGGTTACCCACTTGAGGAATCTAATGCTATCCAGAATTGGATATATTCACGTGATGTTGTACCCATGCTCTTCCTTGCCCTCCACTTTCCCCTCATTTTGGTTTACCTTTCCTTCCACCACGACAAACTATTTGCAATGGTTGAAACAAATCAAGTGCCTCGCAAATGGGTTGGTTACCCTTCTCCAAAAGAAGGCCCTAATATACCATTTATAAGAACGGATGACAAGAATCCTGCATTCCGAGGATGGCTTTTGGTGGTGGTTGGATGGCTGTATGTATTCTTCCCAGCCCAGTCAGAGTCGTATCCCACTAACATCCCAAAGTGTTTCCAAAATTGGTTTTATTCAAGGCTCCTTATGGAACAATGCCAAAATGAATGCATTGAGAGATATCAAGGGTTTGGATGCATACTTTGAAAGATGGGATGTGAGTTGGAGTGTTTCATCCGATATGGTGGATGAAGATTAACAATGTACAAACAGCCTACAGTAATTCCACTCGCGATTGATTCGTCATCTAATTCAGCATTGGATGATTCCGACATTAAGTCCGTTCCTGTCGTTCCAGAAGACTCGGCTGAGCGATATCGTTCGGTAGCTGAATACCACACCCTTTATCGTACCGGAAAATTAACCCCACTAGCCGTCGCGGAATCACTTCTCCCCCTGATCAGGAGAGATACTAATCCGCCAGGAGCTTATTCTGTTGCTTTTACTGAGAGTAATGTTGAAGAAATCCTAGAAGCTGCCAAAGCATCAACTCTGCGATACCAGCAAGGCAATCCTTTGAGTATTCTCGATGGCGTTCCCACTGGTATTAAAGATGACAGTGATGTTGCAGGATACAGAAGTCATGGAGGAAGAAAAAAGAACGATTCATTGTTTATTGCTGCGAAGGAGTCTACTTGGATCGTTCAGCAATGGCAAAATTCCGGTGCTCTTATCATGGGAAAACTAAATATGCATGAGCTTGGTTCCGATACTACTAATAACAACCCAAATTGGGGCACTCCAAAGAATCCGCACAATTACCATTATTACCCCGGTGGTTCTTCCGGGGGCCCTGCTTACGCAGTTTCTTCTGGACTAATTCCTTTTGCTCTTGGTTCAGATGGTGGCGGAAGTATCCGCATTCCATCATCATTCTGTGGTCTTTATGGATTGAAGCCTTCACATTCACGAGTTGAGAACACTGGAAGCACGGTTACTGTTAATGGTCCTCTTGCATCAACTATGGCTGATCTCGAAGTGGCATATCGAATTATGGCAACGCCTAATCCATCTGATCCTGTTGCTGCGCTATTTAGTCCTCCAGAACCTCTTCGAACTGCACGTCCAAAAGTCATCGGAATTTATAAAGACTGGTTTGACCGAGCTGAACCATCTGTTCATAATCTCTGTACCAGATTTGTAGATCACTGTGAAAAGTCTCTTGGCTATACTGTTGTCCCAATCGCAATTCCGTACTGTCCTGAGGGTCAACTTGCCCACGCAATGACTATTCTCACGAATATGGCCTCACGTGCAAAGAAGTTTCCATTCTCGGCCTCAAATTGGCTCAAGGATGCCACTCCATCAAACAAGATACTTCTCACGATGGGTGCATATACTCCAGCTCGGGACTATCTCCTCGCCCAACAACTTCGCAACATGCTCATGCAGCATCTATCTTTCCTTTTCAAGAAATACCCCGGTCTCATCATCGTTACTCCTACTACGCCAATTCCAGGCTGGGAAATAGAACACGAGGGAGACTTGCAACATGGAGCATTCGATCCAAATAAAAGTCTTAGGAATATGGAATACGTATGGTTGGCCAATTTCACGGGTGTTCCGGGCATTAATTGTCCAGTTGGGTATGTGGATCCGAAGAAGGGAGAGGGTAAAATTCCAGTGGGTATAATGGGGAGTTCAGAGTGGGGTGGAGAGGAAATTTTGATCGAGTTTGGCAAGGAGGCTGAAGCTTGGCTGGGCAGGGAGGGTGAAGGGGGTGGGAGAAAATTGCCGAGGGGCTGGGTAGATGTTGTGAAGGCGGCAAAAGAGAAGGTGGACGGAAAGGTGGTTGAGGGAAATTGATAAGTGATGGGTTAGAAGCGTGGATCTAATGATGCAAAGCTGCCCTGTCTAAAGATTAGGTTCAGATTTAGCTATTGCTTCGACTTTTTAGACCGAATGCCGGTGTTCAACGCTCATCCAAGCATCAGAGCATATATACCCAATCATCAAAGCATGTCATATCGAACCCAGCACTTGACTCAAATCTTTATCTATCTTGAGTATTGACCTTCTCTATGTCGCCACTCATATTCGTATCCATTTCTAGTGAAGATGGGTGGAATTGAGTCTTTTTCAGGGCAAGATACACAATGTAGTCAAAATTTCATAGCTTTAGGTCAATTCTCCTGATTATAATAACCAGGCAGCTTCGAGTATGCTGCTACAGCGCGATGTTTAACGCACTATGTTCATGCGCGTTTTGTATAATTAGTATTCTATTACAATTTCACAATAGCTATCGAAGTTCAATCTACTGCAATCAATATTGTTCTCGCAATATATACGTCGCTATCCTCTTGATATGAGGATTCGGTTGTCCTGTTGGAATATCAGCTTGTTGAGTAAATCTCAATCCATAACTCAAGAACAGTCGCTTGTGGATGGTATGCAGGTATTGGAGAGGATGCTGATCAATTGACTATTTGCAGTGATTTTACTGATAACTTTTGTGTTTGAATTTATCATTGGGGTTTGGGTCGTTTGCTTCTTGTATTTGACCCGCATTGCTTAGTACTTTTTGTCAGGAGATGAATGTTCAGCGAGCACAAGAATTTTGATAGGCCAGACTCCCCTTCTTCTTCAAACTCTCTAAATTCTCCTTTCCATCTAGATTTGGCTCGAATTTATCGTGTCTAGTAACTGGCTTATATGTTTGAATGGAGACTATATCCAGTTTGATGGTAAGTAGACATCAATAAGTTGTTGGTAGAAATTACGATTGTTCGATTATGTTTACACCTTGCTGCTTGACGCTGGAATGGAAGTGTTTGTAGCATGAAGATACATATTTGGAGGCGAGTCTTTGACATTTTTCCGGAAGTACGGAAAGAGGTTGTCTCAAAAATAATTCCTTCCTTCAACTTGCTCGGCTCACATACCGTAAGCTTCTGAATTTTGGCGATGGTATCTGATTTTCAATAGCAATATCCCTCACTCAAAACCCCCTATTTGTATCGCCTCATACAACCACATAGTCGCACTGTTGATTTGTGGATGAACTTGCATGATGCTTGGTCGATGTAGCTCCAACAAGGTTTTTCTGTACAAGAATCAGAAAAGGTGAACAATTTATTAATCATTTTTGTAATTTCGTATACCAAAATGAAAAAGATCCAAATGCTAAGGAAAAAATTACATTACTTGTAGTCGTAACATTCCGGCTAGGTCACTCAAATACTAATCTGGTATACTGAAGTGAAGATGTTTACAAATCAATTGGAAATGGGCTGGTTAGTCAGTAAAATGTCGAGTGAAGAATTCATTATTTGGCTCATTTGGCTCATTCGGCTCAATTGACTTGGATGAGATTTGATTGGTAGGATGGTGTTTGGATTGAGAAGTTGCATTCGGGAAGCTGCAGGTTTTGAGGCTGATTTCTCCGCTTCGGGATTTTGGACCGCCCAATCGTTCTTTCTTTCCTTTTTGAACTTACCGCATGGCCTGTTACTGCATTTGACTAAGTTGTCAGATGTTTTCGGTATCTCAGAAGCCGTGAACCTCGTGGAATTGACACACCGGTGCCAAATGAAGGGACAACCAACAACTTCAAATAGCGTCTCTGGAAAAGAGTAGTGAGTTTTTCCCAATAGAAGCTGCGCATGTCATTTGAGTAACTAAAGACAATGTTCTAATTCAAAATTCTCGGGATGGTTCATCAACCTCTTGTCAAACCGGCAAATCAAACATGATTTGGTGCCAACAGATTTCGATTTTTTGCCTGATACAGAGCCTTGGATTACGCATATTGAGAACCATGTGTTATTGTAAGTACTGAAGGCATACTTCTGGCGGAATGGCAGTGCATGCTGTACTTATGTTATCACTCCTATACGAACGCATTGTAAGGCTTGTGTGGCATCAAGACACCAAGAGATCATCCCAGTGGATGAATTCGCGTACAGAAACGCTGAATCAGGCTTTTTGAAGCTTAGATACGTTGTGTATGCCTCTCGTACAATTTTCTTGCAACGGTGTGGCTGCTGTGTTTGCTCCGCCCCTCTTTTATAATATCTAGTGACCATTTCGCCCGTTTTAATGACCATCTATGTTGAGCCTTATCATAACACATTCCCCCGCCATTTCAATGCTTATCACAAAACAGAATATTGCACACTGAGCCATATATTCAAGATTCAGATTTAGCTTCTATTCACAGCATGGACCCGTTGTCAGTGAGCGCCAGCATCTCTGGATTGATATCCATTCTCGATCTTATAGCTGGAAAGAGCTACTAATATGTCAAAGAAGTCAGGGGATCTGCCCAGGAAGTCAAAAAAAACTTGTCAACGAAATGACCGATCTATACGGCATTCTCAACCAATTGCGCCTGGTCGTCTCACGTTTTGATGACGAGTCAATCTCTTCCACCATTCAATTCCAGCACATTGATACTTGCCGAACACTACTTGACAGGATTAAGGAAAGATTAGATAAAGCTGACCGCGACAATATCAGTAGTCAAAAGTCGGCCATTGGCCGGAAATTTTCGAATTTAGGGCGAGCTCTTATCTGGCCTTTCAGCGTCATTGAAAACAGAGCACTCATCGATGATGTGACGACACAGAAGTCTACTTTGATGTTTGCGCTTCAAGTGAATGGAATGAATGCGCTGTTTGATGCACTCAGTGACCAGAAGATACAAGGACTAAATATAGAAGCGATACGGGCGAATGTGCTTGGCCTTAGGAATGAGAAAGCGGTATCTATGTTGAGTAGGTGCTTCGTAACACTTATTTCCCCTTACATTCAAACTAACGTGTTCACGTTTCAGACCAAAAGCAGAAAAAGATTATTGAATGGATAGCTCCATATGATCCCAGTCAGAGACATCAAGAAATTGCGACGAAACTTCGACAACCAGGTACTGGTCAGGTAAGGAGAGGCCATTCCTACAAGGTCTGCTAGAAGATCCAGCTAAAAATTAAAGTGGTTCACCAAGGGAGATCAGTTTAAGTCCTGGCTTAATGAAAAGGCATCGAAGTTGTGGTTGTATGGCATTCGTAAGCATTCGTTCTGTTCTCTTGATAAACTTACCCCAATCGAAAAATCTATTCTGATACTTGTCTTAGCTGGGGCTGGAAAAACTGTATTAATGTATGTCATCAAGTAATTAATTTCTGGGCTAGTCTGCTTACTCAAAATAGCGGTTCTACCATCAGCTGTATCTTTGACCAGCCTGAAGACAGTGATTGTATGCGATTTTCAACTCTAAACTGATGTTCTAACTTAAAACTGATAAGGAACTTCTTGCTTTCTAGGTTTAGCATTCTTCTATTGCGATTACAAGGATAAAAAGACACAGGATCCTCTAAATATCTTGGGTTCTCTGGTCAAGCAACTTGTGTTAGCCGACCGTCGCGGATTTGCGGAGCTAGAAGCATGTTGGGTCAATTATTGTCCAGATGAGGATATTGGAATTTCGAACCCAATATCAACAGAGCATCTCTGTGAATTACTTCGGCATATATCACGTTACTTCTATAACGTTCATCTTGTTGTTGATGCTCTAGATGAATGCAGAGATGGTCGTTTGGATATTGTACGTCTTCTGACTGAGCTCAACGCTACCAAGGACAGCAATATCAAAATCATCTTGGCCTCACGGCTCGAGCCAGACATCGAGAGTTACTTGGTATATTTCATAAGACTCTCAATTGCAGCGCACAGAGACGACTTAGAACTCTATGTACATTCGAAAATAGAGCTTCGTCTCCGCGAAACCCAAAAAGTCATCTGGAACCAAGAGTTGAGAGAAGAAATCGCACAACGGTTGGTGAATGAGGCACAGAGTATGTGTAAGTCATATCAATCTAATTATTCATCTAATCCCAATTGCTGACTTTTAGTCCGCTGGGTAACATACCAACTAGACCAGCTGTGTGACCTCGATACCCTCAGGGGTGTTAGGCGAGCCTTGCATTCCCTCCCGCCGACATTATTCGAAACCTATGAGAGAATACTAGACTGCATCAACCTCAGCAGTGATGAGACCAAAGAGCTTGTCCATCGAGTCTTGATTTGGACTGTCTGTGCCGTCGAACCACTCTCGTTAGCCCAATTACTCGAAGCCGTATCCATAGACCTTTCCGATAAGCATTTAGACCGAGACGGAATTCCAAATGAGCAGAGTATCTTAAAGAGATGTAGCAGCCTTGTTAGAAAGATTGATGGACCTTGGGGCATTCGGATCGAATTAGCACATTTCAGCGTCAAAGAATTTTTGCTACTTCAAGTCCAGAATGACCATTATGCCACGTACCGCGTTTCACAGGATTATCATAACGTTTACATGGGGAAGATCTGCCTTACCTATATACTGTTCGAAGACTTTCGCGATATAAGTCACTACACTACGCATCCCAATACAAAAGCCATCTGCGAAGATTACGCACTTTATGACTACGCCGCAAAATACTTTTCTAATCATTTACGTGGTAACACTAACGATGGAGAAGGTTTGGCATTGTTGAAACTACTTTTTGATCCCATCAAAACAGATAACTTCGTCTCTTGGGCCCAGAAACTGTTAAGCCGCACGTATTCCACTAACATGCACCAAAATATCATTTGCAGTACTAGCACGCTACACTTCGCAATATTGCTGTCACTTCCTTGTGTGGTCAAATGGTTGATCTCAGAAACCAGCATTTTTTCGTGTCTAACGAAAGACAGCGATGCTGGTGACTTGCTAGCCTGCGCGGTAGCTCTGGAATGGTCCTGTTACACGTAGTAGAGCTTTCAGAATGCAAACATCATGCTCAATCGAGTGATAAAAATAATATTTTGGAGTATTTGATAAAACATGCCTCAATAATCGATCAGTTTCCTCTAGTCACGGGCGAATGGGGGGAATATCCACGCACAAACCTGATGGAGCTTGCCATTCAAGCTCGTTTCGGATGGGATATACTGCTTCAGCAAGGGGCTCAAATAACGAATTCCTGTATCGAAGCTCTTGAGGCGGAGCTCGAGCATAGCTTTGACTTTGTTACCAGTTTCGTACAAATTACACGGCCACGAAATGTTCCAGCACTCATGATTCCAAGGTCAGTTCTATTACTGCTACAATTATAATTATCCGTTTGCTCCAAACTTGATATCATTACACGTACTGACAATATCAATCCAATTCGATTAGATTCATGCAATTTGCGCAACAATTCAAGCGTGTGGATAAACCTCTCGCAGATTCATTCTTCAATTTTAATGCCGAAATTGACTCTACTGGCGAGATGGCAGTATTGCACACAGCAATTGCCTTTGGCCAGACGCACACGGTCATTCAAATCTTGAAAAATAAAAATATAGAAACAAATTCGTATAACAAAATAGACGGATTGAGCTCACTACACCGTGCTTCAAGAGACGGTCATTTAAAAATTGTCAAGGTTCTCCTCAGTTGCGGCGCCTTGGTTGATGTTCGTACTTCAATGCATCCCACACACGTCACTAGAACCAATTTATTCGGATTGGAATGTGTAACTTCTTTTCATCTAGCCGTGGTGAATGGTCATTTGAATGTTGCCAGATTCTTAGAAGAGTATGGAGCAGATATCAATAAACCTGACACGAAATCGGGAATCACACCACTCCATTCAGCCACAGCACAGCGCGTCGAAATGATGGAATACCTAATTCAGTCTTCGGTATATGGTGATAATCTTTCGACTACAACACCAACTGGGTGGACAGTACTTATGGCAGCAGCAAGGCTTGGCTCAATTGATGCATTCGAATTTGTTCTGTGTAATTCTGATCCTTCTATAGTTCTATTGCAGGATGATACTGGCTTCAATTGTTTTCACGAGGCTATAAGATCGAGCATTGCCCCCCGCCGTAAAGTTACTGTTCTTAGACGCTCATGTATAAATCCGTCCATATCAACCAAAGAAGGGCTCACGCCATTACATATTGCAGCGGAACGTGGGTTCTACACATTCCGCGAGACTCTTGAATTTTTCCTGAACTCATCTTCGTCTGCCTCTCAAGATCTTTCTGCTCTTCAAATAATGACCAATCATGTATACTTACAGAGTCCTGATTCTCGATGGGCTTCTCTCGAAAAATCGGAAGACATAATAAACTTTGTCTCGGAGTCTGGATTATCTACTCTACATATTTTGATACGCAGGGTATATTCTCCTCCCTATGATGGGCTCAGAATGCTTAGATTGCTATTATCATCTTATCGGAAGATCAATTTAGAAGTCGGAGACATTGAAGGAAGATCGGCCTTGTTAGTACTTTGCAATGAAGGACTTCAGAAGGTACAGGGATATAATCATTGCAAGCACCTCTTTGCTGGTGCCATAGAGTTGTTGTTGCGTTATGGAGCTGTTACCACTCGACAAGATGTGGAAGGAAATACAGCACTTCACTATCTCTGTAGAAGCGACGTTTTGGGAAACTTGAGTGTCGATGCATGTTAGCTCTGTTGGCGGCGAGACCGTCGATGTTCACTGATACTTCCGAAATTCTCGAGTCAAACAGTCCCACCTGGAGAAGTGGAGATGATAAATATGATCAAAATGATGGCAGAAATAAAAGTGATTACGTTCCCAAACATTACGATGAAGATTATGGGAAATACGACATTACAAATGATGATATTGGAGGTTATGACGATGATGGAAGTGACGACGACGAGAGTGATGATTATGACAATGACCACGATTTTTTGACGGAGCTATACCCCACAACTCAACTGATTTGTCCAAGGAGCAACGATATAAGCTTGTTGGAGGTACTCAACGGATCTAAGATTACAGCTCTGCACATATTTTTCAGGAATCTCGACGCCATTTGCCGCCAACCATTCGCCATTAAAATTGCGCTCATGTTAATATCTAAAGCTTCCGAAAACCAGCTCAATGACACCTTGATTAATGGCCGCAGTCTCTTTAACGTTACTCTTCAATCCAACCAAGGCCAACTCAGCCAGATGCTCATTAGCCTCGGGGTAGATACTGTATCTTCGGATCGGGGAGACCCTCTGCGAACAGCTCTCGAGATTCTCTGTATTCATGGATCGCACCATAAAAGTATTGTCAAAAAGATTATTAAGGATCACACGAACAGCACTACGCTCGACGTTGATGGTTTCACTATACTTCATCTTGCCTGTATCTATAAACAGGTCAACGTTCTCGAAGAATTACTTTGTGCTGGTTGGAAGACACATGTCTTGAGCCGAAATGAAAACCCGTTGATTGTAGAAGGTATTGAATCTGGAAATACAGCAATGGCTAACTTGCTGCTAGAACATGGAGCAATTCTGCTGAACAAATACGAATATAAATCTGATATCGCGTTTTCTCTTTCAGTTGCGCCAAATCATATGATGTGTAAGTTTCTCAACGAGAAGGGCATCAATGATTGGCACTGCAAAGCCAGTGGGCATTTCTGGGGACAATCCGTACCTCGAATAAGCACAGGGCAGATAATATATGGCGGTATTCTGGAGAAAAGGGAATGGCACTTTGAAATCGACAATGTGACATCTTTGCATGATGCATCTATACATGGCACCAAAGAGACTATGATGTGTGCCCTAGATTTTGGGAACCAATTGGATGTCAATATTACTGCGGATTTTGGCATCACTCCACTATTCTTCGCGATCTTTGGCAAGAGGCTTGAAATCACTGAATTGCTTCTATCAAAAGGTGCCGCAACTAAGGCCATCTACGGCCCTCGGAAATTGACACCGCTACATCTTGCTGTCGCAGGGGGCAATGAACTAATTGTTGAAACTCTTCTTCAATATGGATCGGATGTTCAGGCTCGTGATAGTGTAGGGCTCACTCCGGCTACGCTTGCTTTGGATCTTAAGTATGAAGGTATAGCGGGAATTTTGAACAAACATTTGGCCAAACTTTGTAAGTCTGTCGCATACTTTTCCCGAGTCTTCACCGTATTCTCTAGCTACAAACATTTCCCAACAATAATGAAAGCTTCAAGACCATGCTGGTTACTGATATTTTTTATGTGTAGTAATATTTGAGCCCATTTGTCCAGATGACAATAAATCAGCTACAGAGACTGATAAAGTGGACGGTGATAAATATGTATCTGTTGCCATTGAAGATGCTATCATCCGTCGGGACCTTTTGACTCTGAAATATCTACTTCAAAATGGTGACAGCATTGAAGGGGCTTGTTTTTGCGGGTGCAGTCCATTGCTTAAGGCTTTCGTGAGAAGCTCTTCCAAGGAAATAATTCATTATCTATTGGATAAAGGAGCCTCGCTAGAGGGAATAGTGACATGTACAGAACCGATACCCACAGCTGATTCACATCCCTTCAATATGCCGCAATGTTGGGAGACGAACAAATTATGGAAAAAATTCTCACAGTAGGAAAGCCAGCTCCTCAACAAAAGGTCCACCCTTTACATATTGCAGCATATAACGGTCATTCGGCTTGTGTTAGGCTGCTCTTGAATTATGAACTCGGAAATAAATGTGGAATTGATATGAATAGCAGCGTTACTAATCGTCGATGCTTCGAGGAGGCTCGAATTGTGAGCAATGACAATGAGGTTGTCAAGGACATCGGCGGAACAGCTTTGCATTATGCTTCATTTCAGGACCACTTGAATACTATGGAGGAACTCTTAAAATCGGGAGCAGATCCTAATGCTCAAAACAGGTGGGGAGAAACACCTCTACATGTTGCCACAGAGGAAGGTCGATATCAAGCATGCCAAGTACTGATCTCTGCTGGATCTAACGTTCTATCTCGGGATTTTAGAAACTTCTGCCCGATTCACGTCGCAATATGGAGAAAACACAAGCGAATAGTGGAGTTTATGATAAAAGAATTGGTCAGCTTCGATATTTTTCTGGAAGATGGAGGTGATCTACTGGCTTATGCTTGCCGCTTTGGCCATGCTGAGACAATAGAATTACTCTTTGCCGCTGGGATGAACATTAATTTAACCCACAATAATGAGTGGCCGACGTTCTTTTCCGTTATTTTCAACCAGGCTTTGACTGAAGAATTCCGAATAAAGTTACTAGCGGATGTTGATAATCCTTACCAAACACTTGGGTCGGGAAGTTTACTTACAGTTCTTTGCAGTGAATCCCTGCTATCGGTAGCCAGAAAGTGAGTTGATCTTTTTATTGCTCTTGCAACTATGTTATAGTATTCAAGATGTAGTATTTGTCTGATATTTGTCGCCATTATCTCTGGAGATACTACTAGACCGCTGACTTGGCATAGATTACTGATAGGAGTGCCTAAAGATAAAATATACCAATATGTCAACTACATCGGTACATTTGGAACAGCTCTATACTGCACAGCAGCAAAGTCTCTAGAGCAAAATCTAAAAATGGCGGAGCTGCTCATAGATAATGGAGCTGAGCTTGAAATCATTAAACCATCACACGGCACACCTCTAATGGGTGCGGGTTACTATGGTTGTTATAACATGGTTGCGATGCTTCTCAGAAAAGGGGCAAGAACCACATGCAACAAACATGATGGGACACAAATGACTGCAGGTGAAGAAGCTAGACACCATCCTGACATAGTATCGTTACTCAAGAACTTTGAGGAGAAAGGTATTGAAGCCTTAAATGAGCCCAGGCCAACACTAATTGCCAATATGATGAAGTTTGAGGAGTGTTTGAATGGGATTTCGGAAGGAAAGGAACAAGAAAAAGATCAGGAGAAGGAGGGAAAAGAAACGAAGAAGAGGAGGGAGAAAAAAGCAAGGAAGAATGTTGCGAGAAAATTGATGAAGATGAAGCGCACCAGAGTGATGTCTTTGAGAGAGACAAGGAGTAGATGTTTTCGGGTTGCCAATAGACTAACGGCTTATTATCCTATGTTTAAGTAACTTGAAGTTCCTTCTTAATTTAATCATAAGAGTCTGTATCGGCACCATGATCTTTAAGTCCTGACATATCACTCAATGAAGGACGTGAAAAGAAGATCCGAATGCTGATCCTGCTGGCAATACGGCTATATATCCGTAAACAAGCTACCACTCAAGATGATGATCTCATGTCGCCCGTCAAGATTCAAAATACAATCCAGCGTCGTATTGTTGATTCAGTAAGTCCTAATAAACATTACACAGGTCAATCCATGATTCATGATACACATCTCTCATAGGTCATAACTTCGCAAATTCCTCATTTGATATCTTGGGTTGGTGGCACGCAGTTGTGTACAGCTGAGAAAAGAAAACGCCACAATATATATAATCTCAAAACGCCACCATCGACCCATGCATAATCATGTCCAATAAGCATCATACTTTCCGTTTCTGGCTTCACACATATACGGTATCGAGCGGATAAATACTGGTGGTTGTCTGTAGTTCTGTGTGTCTTATATTATATGAACCGGCAATGAAACCCCTCTCGTTAGGTTGGAGTTTCGTTTCTCTGGATAGCAGTGAATCTGATAGCGTTATTTAAATATTTTAATACGATAGTGAATAATAGCTAGCTTTGGTTCAATTTTTTTCTCTTAAAAGTTCTCCTCTCCTTGATCTTCAAAACCTGAAAGTTGTATCATCAGGCTGTTGCACTTTACGAAACTCTCCTCTTCGTGATTTACAACTTCGACAGCATGGCTTTCTCTCTTATCTGGATCTTTGTATCCATTCTCGTACTCTGGATCTCCAATGCGTACCTTTCGTTGAATCGAAATATTGCGATTGCAAAGACCACTGGCCTTCCCTACATCATATCTCGTGAGTTGACTGTGAAACCTTCGTGTCGTTGTGAACTTCTTACTAACTTTTGATGTAGCAATCAACGGCATAGCCGGATTTCTCTGGACCGGTATTCATGATATTGTTTTCAGCATTCTGAAATGTCTACCATATTCTCAAAATTGGCTATATCCAATGATTATGTAAGGTTGCATTGCATTAGCATACATCCAGTCAACTGACTCATAGCAGGTATCTTGACCCCCATCGAGGATGGCACTACAGCCAGGAACTGCGTGAGCTACATGGCGAAGCATTTCTCATCATTAGTCCTGGTCAGATATATCTTAGCATGGCCAATGCAGATACCATATACCAAATGTCCATCCGGCGAAATCACTTCCAGAAACCCGTCGAAGTATACGGAATTGTCGATTTGTATGGAAAGAATATTCTCACCACGGAGAAGGATGAATGGAAACGTCATAAGAAAGTTGTCGCGCCTGCATTCTCGGAGAGGAGTTATGCTATAGTGTGGAAGGAAACTATGAGCCAGGCGTATGAAATGCTAAGACATTGGTCAGGAGCAAAAGATTCGAATGAAGAGAACCTGGAAGTTAAAGATACTGCACCGGATACTGCAGTTTTAGGTCTACATGTTATTTCTGGAGCGGCGTATGGCATTAGCCAGAGCTGGAAAGGAGACGATAAGGAGTTGGGTGACAATATAGTTCCCGGTTTCAATACTACTAAGCTTGAGGGTAGTCATCAATTGATGTTCAAGGAAGCTCTGGGTACATTGGTTCATGATATCATTTGGGCAGCGCTTGCTCCGATGTGGGTATACAGTAAGTGGGAATTCTTTTCTGGCGATTCTGGACTAGAGGTGACATCTAACACGAGTTTAGGTATCTCACCTTTCCACAAGAAGTGGTATCGGTCATTTGTCGAATGTGGTGACTACTTCAATGAGCTCTTTGATCACAATTTGAAGGTTATTGAAAGTGGCCAGAATACAGACTCTGCGGCAATGGGCATTATAGGTATTTATACTTCTTGAATTCAAGGAATGAATACTAATCAAACATCAGGTTCTTTGGTAGAAGCTACTCGACTCGAATCCTCGGATGATTCTAAGAAAATGCTCACCAAGCAAGAAGCGATAGCCGATTCCTTTATATTCCTCTTCGCAGGCCACGAAACTACATCCAACGCAATACACTTCATAATCCTCTTCCTGTCTATTTCCCTCACAGCACAAGATCAACTTCAATCAACGCTTGATACAGTTCTTGCAGACAGATCACCAGAATCCTGGAATTATGAAACAGATTTCCCAGCTTTACACGACAGTTTTGTTGGAGCCGTCATGAACGAATCCTTAAGAGTCATGTCCCCTGTTATTGCCATTCCGAAGGTAAGCTTGGAATTGCGACAATTGAATTTTGAGGGAAGAATTGTCACGATCCCGGCAAATACTTTTCTGCATTTCGATGTCTTGGGTGTGCATCGAAACCCGCGTTATTGGCCATGCCAAAAAAGCCAGATTAGTGACAAATCTCACGATTTAGATGACTTTGTACCTGAGAGGTGGATGCCTGACTATGAGGAAAATTCAAAAGACAAAGCCTCCCCTGACGCTTCGAATGACAATCTACTCTTTGTACCACGTAGAGGAGCATTTATACCTTGGTCAGAAGGCGCTCACGCGTGTATGGGAAAAAGATTCTCGCAAGTTGAGATGATGGCTGCATTGGCTGTGATATTCAAAGTCTGGAGCGTTGAATTGGATGTCAGAAAATGGGCGAGTGATGATGAGATTGAGAAGATGAATGTCGGAGATAGGAGAGTTGTTTACAAGAAAGCAATGGAGAGAGCGAGACGACTTATAAGCGAGAGTGAGACTGTCATTACGCTAAAGATGTCTGGAGAATCTATCCCTTTGAGGTTTGTCAAGAGGGGAAACGAGAGGTTCAAGGAATGTTTTCTCTAAAGTGGGCTAGCTATTGTAACGAAAGCATTCAGGTTGGGGATGGGTGTTGCAGAAATTAACTTCCCACTCTCTGCCGTTTGCACAGAGATGGGTAAGCACTTGAGCTATCGAAGTTCGAGTACCTCAAACTGCCAATTTCAGATACAATGATTAGAATTAGCATTTCATGAGTGCTTTTGAGAATACAAATGAATTGGTGAGGTTGTTTACACATAACATCCTGAGCCTAACAATAGACTTCAATTATCATATTCTCCAAGTGATAGGCACTCGTTTCATTCTATCTTATTTTCTCTTATCCTCGCCTCGGCTCTTCCCCTACACCTGAGCATTCAGTACAAAGCGTATGTATAAAAATGATCGAGTGTGAAGTCAGGATTGAAGAGCTAGTATCCCTAGGTTCACATACTGATTTTGCAATTTGCGATAACAAGGTATACTTAGACCGAGATTTTAGATCAGAGTAAATAGCAATTTATCATCGAGAATACCAACAAAGTTTTATAGAAATAACACCACTGAAGAAATAACGAACTGATAGCAATCATGTGTTCGAAAAAATCATACCAATTGTATTAATTCAACTAATAGAAGCAGTCCCGAGCTACTGAGATTAAGACACCTAACTCCTCCTTTTATTCCCCTGTCACTCATCGCCATCTCCCATTAAGAATTCCTCAAGTTTCTACACTTTGAAATAATCTAATGAACCATCGTCTTTCCAATTACACTTTTCCATCCCTTGGCCCTTTCAAACCCATTAGATTGAGTCTGAAAGTCCATCATCGCTTGATAGACCTCCTCCTCTGAATTGAGGACAAAAGGGCCATATTGGACTACCTTTTGATCGAGGGGCTGACCTGCTACTAGAACTATAGAACTCGTTAGTATATATTCTCTCCTATGTCATAAGAGATAAGAATAAAATATTGTAGAAGTGCGACTCTAATGAGGAGTACAACTGCTATGGATACATCTGATGATAACACTAACCCATTACTATCAACGACCCCGAGTTTTAGACATTACAGAGTAGTATTTGCTTGAGTACTTGCAAATATACCAGAAATGTATGCCTCAAACATGAAAGCACTTGCTTTGGAATCAACCCCACCAACTTGTCTATCTCGGCTACAGTCTGACCCCACTCGGGTAACATTCGGCCCCTTCTTGCATATATTGACCCGCTCGTGCAAACTCTGCAACCAACCCTGCAGCACAACAGTCTGGAAGCGATTTTTCAACGCTGTATTATTGGCAAACAAGCAGCGATCTTCCATCATTCAAGCAACAACCAGCGTTTGTGGTTTAGTGGTAAAATCCATCGTTGCCATCAATCTCTTCCTTCATTAGGAGATTGTGAAACAACCTCGATGGGCCCCGGGTTCGATTCCCGGCGAACGCATTACCCTTTTGTTTTCCGAACAACTTCAAACCGATGGTTTTTTGTTCTGTCATCGATGTTTTGAAGTTGTGGTTGAGGGTATTAGACAAGGTTGGCCTTCTTTTTGTTCCTGCCAATTTTGGCCGCGAGGTTTGGGAGGTTGTGAATTGAAAATGAAGCGAAAACCAATCAAATGAATGAGTAACTTACTAAAATGTCCATTTTCTTTAGCAGACTCTTCGACTTCTGCGTTCACTACATCTCCCTCCTGACGGAATACCACGTTGTGGAATTGTGCAATCTTAGTCTTCTCATCTCCACTTCCAAAGATCGTCTCTCCACTCAAGGTATAAGCAAAAGCATTCCATCCAGCTGGTAATGATTGCTCAATCTTTCCACCCGGTTTGATTTCTACGTCGAAAATCCAAACTGGTGTATAAGCTAATTCTTGTACACTATCAACACCATGACTTTGGCCTGAAATAATCTTCACATGTACTTTTCCATCATCGATGTCGATGTTTGGGATTTCCTTGGCCCGTAGATCACGATATCGTGGTTCGCATTTCTTGAGTTTTTCGGGTAAGTCTACCCAGAGTTGCATTCCAACATTTGCGCTGCCATCGAGATTTTGTCGTGGCATTTCCGCGTGCATTATTCCTTTTCCTGCAGTCATGAATTGAAGGTCTCCTGCTTCGATAGTTCCTGCGTTACCTGCGAAATCTTCGTGGTCGACAGCACCTTCGAGGAGGTAGGTTATCCTGATGAGGGGGTTGAGTCAGCGGCGCTTTGATACGGAGAAACGAAATAGTTGACTTACGTTTCTTGTCCTCGGTGTGGGTGATCTGGAAATCCAGCTCCGGGCTTAATGGTGAAATGGTCAAGCATAAGGAATGGTGAGAAGTTCTTTAATTGAGGTGTGCCAATTGAACGACGAACTCTCGCTCCCGCACCCTCAGCTTGCTCGCGTGCCAAGAAGGCTTTTTGAATTCCTCTTGGTGTTGTCATATTGACTGCTTTTGATGTGCTAAAATGTGAAGCGGATGGGAAATTGGAAGGTTGTTTTAGTGAAGGAATGGTGGTTGTGTCGTTTGCAAACAAGTTACTTATGCCTTCGATATACTCGATGATTGGATCTCGGAATATAATTGAGAATACTGCAATGATGATTGAAAAAAATAGAAGAAGCAACTTCATCTGGATAGCATGAGAGATTTATAGGATATTTGAGAACGAATGAGAAACAAAAAGAATGTTCTTTGAGGGGATACTTAAGGATTTGAATGATATTTGACTCTATTGAGCTATTGATGATGAAATGCTTATCGGATTGCTTATGGATTGCTGATTAAGAGCCTTACACCTTGTTAGACCGAAGGTAGGGCTGACCAATAAGTGCTGGAGAAAGTTTGAATTGTGGCTGGGGCTCTTTGTAATAGATATATATCATTGGTCAATCTCGATTGCTCCGCATTTCAATTCACTGAATCAGCTTTTACAATCACAGCCTTACCCCCACCTTTTTAATATTAGGTTACAAAGCGAGAACAGGGTCACGTGGGTGTGTTTCAATTACCAATTTATGTGAATGAAATGAGCCTGGAAGACAAACGCAAGTTATAACAAGTCTAGCGATAATGGATGATTGACCTTAATTCTGTCTGCATGGCAGGAATATCGAACGTTGTGCCCTTAAACTCATCAGGTGCGGCGGTCTACGATGGCGACCGTGGGCGAAACGGCTGGAGTCGGATATATGCCATTATCAATGCACTCAAAAAGCATAGTCAACATTAAATCATTCATAAAGCAAAAGTGGGCTTCAAACAACAAAAATATTTCAGTACTCTCTGGTATGCAGCACATAGAGACATTAAGCATTTACTACCTAGAACAAAGTAGAAGACACTTAGATTGAGCCCGCATCACACGCTCAGGAGAGAACCTCGCTAGCGAAATTGCCGAGGCCTGCAAACAGCAAAAGGGCTTCGACTTTTAATTTCGGAAATGTTGGTTCCTCTCCATGATCTCATACACTGCAATAGATGGCGGAAATGATCAAGGAGCCAGGTAGCTATTCATGCTCCATTGTGAGTCATTCTAACGATCTAATAATCGTTTGAGATTGAGATTGAGCCTGGTGTGGCTTTCTCCAGTACACTGGGTCATGACAGAGCGAGTGGCTGCTGGAATTTCCAGCTCTGTTTGGAACGATGACTGTCAATTATCTCTTTGGAGTGTACTAGATGTAACGTATTCTGGGATCAGTTTAGTGGATGGCTTGCAAAGTTACTGTAGAAACTATTACCAAGCTAGTTTTCAGAGGATGAGAAAAACACTGAGTCACACTGTCTACTGGGAATTTTACCTCGAAACAATTTCTAATTTTACAGCTAGATACTTCAGAGCAGTCACACAAAAGTTGGATAATAGATTTCCCTATCAAAAAAATTCGTCGAATAGATACCTAGTACTGATATCGCAAATTCAGTCCAGCAACGAATAAACTAGCTTGACCATTCCTGTGATCTTCTAGTGAAAAGCAACGCATTCTGAAAACACAACTTTTGGCTCATTCATACCAGATGACGGCGCCATTTTCCTATCAGGAAATTGCTCACTCCTTATCGTCCTTTTCGGTCGGGTCCCCATAAGAAATGAGTGAAGGATCCACTCTAAAGCCTTTCTCCGCAAGCTTTTTCAAAATTTCGCATAAGCTTTCGATGACGTCTTCATCAAGAACCGCCGGATGCTTCTGTTCGTAAACTTCCTGGACGATGTCATACTTGGGGGTATTACGTTCCTGTTCCGCAAGAGAAGTTCCGTTTATCCAAGGTTTGGTCCATTCGAGTCGGTTATCTACCTTGAATCTCCTTTTGATTTTCTTTCCCGTCACAGTCATCTTTATTTGATTGATAATTTCCGCTAAACTCATTTCGCGCTTCCATACCTTCTCCTTAATCCAACAATTATCATAATCATATTCGAAGGCCTTGTCAAAAGCTTTCTGGATTTCAATGCTTTCATTAGCCGTTTGCTTGAGCAATATCTTTTCTTGTCCCTCAATCCAGCTAGGACACGTGGTCCAGTCTTTGGGGGGTTAGTCGATCGGTGGAACAGTGGTTTTATAACATCTAGCAGCACGATGTAATACTTCGATGTGCAAGAGCTTGTGGTCGTCAGAGAGTTTGTACAGAGGAGTTCTTGTCTTTTTATTAGATGGACAGAACCACGCCGAGTACGAAAGTCCATTGGCTTTAGCACAAGCGCCATAATGAAAAAACTTCAAGATACACATCTTGCTTCGCGGGATATGGATGAAGTTGGCTGTCAAGTATCGTCTTCTCGATGGTCTGGTAACCAGTGCACTAATGCCATTAGTTTTTTTTCTATCCTCGAGGGCGTAATACGTACGGTATTTCTATCAGGACAGACTACTTGAGCCTATGCTAGAGTTTCCGTGTTCTGAATTTGTATATCGAGTATGACCGACTTAGTGGTTAATCAGAGGCATTTCCACGCAGATCAAAAGAATATATAACAATTCTCCCCGTAGTTAGGCAGGAAAACTCTTGAACTCCTACGTGTCGAACGATGTTAGTGAATCTCAAGAATCATACCACAAGGTCTATTATGACTTTGACTAAGCTGAGATGAAAATTGGTGTTTCAATGTATGTGCTCGAGTCAAATACCCTTGGAATCATTCATGAAGCTACTATCTTTACGTGTCGGTTGTAACATTTTGTATGTTGAAAATTTGGTCATATGGGGAGCATGTTTTTTCATACTATGGCGATTGAGTTAGAATCATGCATTGTAATGATAGGCATACGAAATCGCCGCTATCAGAATTTGGCTGGTTCAAGTTACTCAAGTCTACACTCCGCTCATCATATTTCCAAGTTAATATTCCTAAAACAGTGCCCAGAAATCGTTATTTTTCATTGTGCAAATTAAATAGACTGCGGTGCTTCCATCTTTCTCATCGCCTAGATTAACAACATGCCAATCCATGTAAAGCTCAAATTTGGATTCCCCAAATTGGACCGAAATCTCTCCAATTCAGTACCGGACTATGCCCATCGAGTCTCCTTCATATTTGTGTATATAATATCACCAATAGAGAATAAGCCTTGTAAAGTAACAGTGAATTGCTTTACTACATTACATGCCTCTTTGAGAATCTTTTCACAGTCTTCTGCACCTTAGATTTTAGCAGAGCATCATGAATCTTTTCTGTGCTTTCTCTTGCGCTTTTTTCCTCCACTATCTCTTCTAATTCTCTCATTTCCGCTTTGTCTACCTCCTGTTTCCCCCTCCCTCTCATCTTCTAATATCTCCCCATCCTCCTTCAAATTAAGCCTCTCCCCTCGATTTTCTTTCACCCTTCCTTTGTCCTGCAATTTCACCTCACTACCGCTTTCACTGCCACCTCCCTTACCCGCGCTTCTTCTTTCTTTCTTCCCATCAGACTCCTTATCCCCGACCCTTCGCCTCTTCTTTGCTGGGCGCTGCTCGCTGCCTTTTGACAGCTGTAACGGGGACTCCGTAATCTTAGCATTGTTATTGATCATTGGAGGAGAACTCATTTTCAACCCAAGTTGTGGACAGGACTTCAAAGGCATGGTGGAGTTCAAGCCATGTGCCAATGAACTTTTCATCAAGCGAGGAGCCATACCTAACGGAATTCGAGGACCAGATGGAGGAGCTCTATCTAAGCCCAAAGACCGTTGAATTTCTGCACGATGTAAAGCTGCACTTTGTGCAGCGGCTCGTTGCGTATTAAGTTTTTTTGGAATAAGGCCTGTTGATGAATCTTGGGTACTTGATCTTGAACGGCTGGATGTTGGGTTCGAGCTTCCTTCAGAAATTTGGCTCTCTGCTCTGTTACTTGAACCGAAGGTTTTGATTGGGCCTTCTTTTCTTGAGCTGCGCGTTGTGCTTGAGTTTCCCGAGCTTGCGATAGTTTTCTTTGCAATGTAGAAGATATTAGTGAGCCAGTCGATGACTGGGCATTTTGACCATTGGATTTGTTTTGTATTGAGACTTTACTAATGGAAAAGGCTTGAGACATCAATTCGGGAATACGGTCAGTGATGGTGGGGTGATTTACTTGAATACGATCGCTGACCTTTTCAGCGGATGTAATAACCACTGAGTCACCTATCTCTGTATTTTGTTCCACTCTAGTCACCATATCAGAAGCACTAGCTCCATCATCCGAGACATCCTCCATAAAAGCATTGTCCGTCTCTGTGGATAGTCTTCGAAAGGAATTGCCTGTAGTAGCTGGCTGCAAACTAACACTCTTGCCATGAAGCTCCATCTTCTCTGATACTAGAGCCAGTGAGTTGTGGACTCTTTCAAGTTCTTTGGAATCATGTTCCTTTTGCAAATGTTCGTAGAGCTTATGGCTGTTATTTTGCTCATTGTATCTCTTACGAAGTTTCTCATCCTTCAGTATCATGTAAGAGATTAATTTCTGGTTCCATTCGGAGCGCACCTTGTCCATAGCATTCTGATTTTTAGCATGTCTGAGATTAAGGATATAGTCATGAGCTAAAAACCGCTTAGTACCTTATCGCCTGTAAAAGAGTGATCACTATCTTCTCACCGATACTTCGCAAGAGACTCCCGAGGTGATTTTTACTAATGACTCCATTCCACGATGAGCTCTTCTCTGTGTCGTTAGCACCCAGATCATGATAATAGTTTGAATCATAGTTTATGTCTTTCTCCTCGACGATAATGCCTTTGGCGACACTTTTGAAGAAATCTTCGTTATATGGTTCGGGAGGGTCATCAGGATGAGGCACTCCTATTGAACGAACTACTTCCTCGCGAAAGGCAGCGAACTGAATTTGTGCTGTGGGCTCGTTCGGTTTTTGATCTCTTCGCTCACAGTCTGTCAGGCGCTTCTTTCTATCATTATCGTAGCTCCACTTCCTGTCGTGATCCGATAGTGTAATGAATGCACGCTGGATGTTGATCCATTTTTGTCTTATGTTTCGTAGACTTGTCGGTTCTTTTTCGTAAATTTTCATTTTCCCTTCATCGGACTCTGGATTATAGGTTCGTCCTCGAGCTTGTCAGCAGAGTTCCCATAAAGATAGAAGTGTATTGACATACTCAACTCAGAGTAGGCCTTGTTTATGTCCTCAGTGGAGGCAGATGAATACAACGATAAAACCTCATAATAGTCCATGTCTAGATCATGGACATATCGAGCTCCATGCAGATCCTCTGCGTCTATTATAATCTGTTCAGCGTATCCTTCCTTTCTCGTCTTTTTGTCTGCTTCTGGCATGGGTTTCAACCCTTTCGAAGTTTTGAGCTCTTCAAAGCCAATCTTCTTGAACTCAACATCCACCTCCTTGGAAGCTTCCGCGTCCTAGAAATAACAACCAATATTAGCATGTATACTGTGTGCTTTTTATGTGACCATTAATTACCGTCATGTGTGCTCCAGGGTCAGATTGAGGGGAAACGCCAAATCGAGGATGAGTACCAGAGCACACAGCTTCAGCAAATTGAATGATTTTGACATATTGTTTAAATTCGAATAACTCCTGTGGTTTGTATTGTTCGGCTTGGTAGAGCTCATAGATAGTCAAGCGGGGAGAGCCTTTTTTTGGTTCGTGATAATCTGTATTGGGTCCGCTAAGCTCTTCACTCGATGCCATGGTAGAAAACAATAAAGTACAAAATTCAAGTTCTGGTAGGATATTTTCTAAAGCATAAAGTGAATATAAAATAGATGCGACAACAAAGTGATACCAGTGTTTTCACAGTTAACTGCCGCGAAAGAAAGAAGTTGATTTTAGAAGTTGAGGCTATTCAAGCCTTTCACTTTGTTTACTTAAACGGTATTAAATTGTCCCATCGGCTGATCCATGTCCGAATCTCCGAAGTGATGCTTCTCGGATAAGAAGAATCATGATTGAAGAAAGGTACGATGAGAGCCTTCTTCGTTTGGGAAGGTATGTATTCGTGAGTTTCTTGAATGACACATGATTTTTGCCAAGGCGGATGGCTGCATAAAAGAAGGGTCGAAAGAAATCCCATCACATCCATCATGGTTCACCACCATGTTCTTGATTCAGTTGGAAAGGTTGGTAGAATACATATTATCTTTATAAGTTAATTGCATGACAAGCAATTCAACTATGCTATTGCTCATTCGTCAACATCGCAACTATTAGAGATCTCCTCGTACTTCTTATAATTCTCCCCATACGCCTCGATCTTCGCCATGATTGCCTTGTAAGCATCGCTTCCAATCACTACTCGCAAAGGTGGATCTGAGAGTGTAGCCAGCTTGTACATTGCCTTCGCACCTTTCTCTGGATCTCCAGCTTGAGTGCCGTTCCTCTTTTCCATTGCTTCCTTGGCATTTAGATGATCATACGCAGGGTTTCGTTTCTCGGGAAATTGCATAGATCTTCCAGCCCAATCAGTTCGGAATCCACCTGGCTCAACACAAGTGAACTTGATGTTCCATTCTGGCTTCACTTCTTGACTAATACTTTCAGTAAAGCCCTCGACTGCCCATTTACTTGCACAGTAAATGCTGAAAAAAGGCACGCCTCTTTGACCTCCAATACTAGTGACTTGTTGAATAAGACCGCCACATGGCTTTTGGCTTCGCATTACCTCCATTGCCTTCTTGGTTACGGCAAGAAGACCGAAGAAGTTTACCTCCATCTGAGTACGAGCTTGTTGCTCACTGACTTCTTCAAAGACACCGGCAAGGCCGTATCCTGCATTGTTGACGACTACATCGACGCGGCCAAACTTATCGGTTGCGGATTTGAAAGAGTTTTCAATGTCAGATTGACTAGTTACATCAAGTTTGAGGGCCAGAAAGTTCTGTTGCTATTAGAGAGCTCTATCGTATGTGTTAGAGATATAGTACCTTCTCACTTGTCCCCTTGAACTTTAAAGTCTCAGGCTTACGAGCAGTTGCGACGGCAATATCTCCTCTAGGTTGAGATTAGTTGAGCATTTTTGAACCATTTCTCAAAGACGGCTTACTTATCGAGAACCTCTTGGACAAGATGGTTTCCGAACCCGGTGGAAGTACCAGTGATGAAAAAGACTCTGGGCATGATTGTTGCAATTGAAAGAGGAGGCGTGGCGGCTGATTATAGATTGTTTTGTCTGGATTTCTTACTTGAGAATTATTTGCAACAATGTCAATCACCAAGTAATGTCAACTAGCAATGCATATATACATTAGGATTGGTATTAGGGCCGGATTTAGGGGGGGCAAACTCCAGCAGAAGCATAAGTGGGAACTGGACGACGTCATGATTAATCCATCAGTCGTTGTCCAGATTCCATGCGTCACTGCTCCCTCTATGAATTGATTGAATAGCTTATGGAACTATCTACCTAGGTAGTTAGGTATTTGGTATTGATTTTGTTCCATCATTCCATCACAACTATTTATAATGACAAGAGAGGATTGAGGACTGGAGCATGTGGGGTGGGGTGTAAGTAAAAGCGGTGAAAGGAAAGGCAAAATCCAATTCCGGCTCAACTTCTTATTGCAATTGATCCATGACAGACAAGAAGGACATGACTTCGAGTTTGTGGGGGAAGATGGGGTCGATGCGTCTCAAGCTATATATTATGCATCAACAGACGTTTATGTTCAAGATCAATAAGAAGCTCAGTCTTACTTCGTCGGGTTTTAAGACAGCGCTACCATCCACATTTCTTCTGTTCACCGAGAAGGCCAATTGTGATTACTATACTTGTGCAGCCAGAAAGTATACAACTCTGAAGCTCGATGCATATACCACAAGATGATGAACTACAAGATAACCAACCTGGTTTTCTCAGTTCCAGAGTTGTATACTTTCTAGCCATATAAGTATTTAGACTAATACAATAGAAAGATTGATAAACACAGTATTCATCCAGTCGGAAAATATACAACTCCGAAGCTACGTAATTGTGTGTAATAAAAAGGTATTAAATATGAGGTGATTAGTGACCCATATTTAGATGAAGTACCATCCACTTTCCAGCTGTATAAGTATTTGGATCGATACAATAGAAAGATTAATAAACATGACACTCGTACAATCAGAAAATATACAGCTCCAAAGCTAGATGTATATATCAAAAGGTGGTAAAATACAAGGTGATTCCTGGCTCATATTCAGAGGCAGTTATATGTACTTTCTAGCCGCACGAGTATTTAGATTAATACAATAGAAAGATTATTAAACATAACATACATTTGTACAACCAGAAAGTATACAATTCTACAGTTAGAACTATTCACGCCGATGTGAAGAAAGATTAATAAACACAACACATGTGTCGCTTTTCGTCACCTGCATTAGTCTCGGAAAGACGACGTTTATCGCACAGCTATTACAACATATTACTTCATATTATATTCCATAAAAGTATATATTAAACGATGCTCCTTCCAAAAGCTCAACTTCTCGACTCCAACCCCATCTACCTCATCCCCAAAATACTCACCCGAAGCAAACCCCCAAAATGTATGTCAAAGATCTCCCCTCTTTCAAAGATATGCCCCCAGTCGCGGGAATGCCTCACGGAACGGCATGGGGTCTCTTTGACAAAAACGGCGAGCGAGACAATTGTGGTACTTTAAATTTACTCACGCCCGAAAACACACTCGAAGCAAGCAAGGAGATAAAGTCTGGCAAAAGTGTTGCATTGAAGTGTGTCTTATTCTCATTCTTTCCCATTCTTATTCATCCCACAACTCACTTTTCTATTCGATGATCACCGAGAGAGAAAAGTAACAATGCAAATATACTAACATCTGCTTGCTCTCAAAAAGTTGGTCTCAAGACCGCATTCACGAACCTGCATTCGGTCGCGAGGTTCCAAATCATACAATTCGGGATCTGGCTCCATTTGGTATCAAAGCGTATGATGATGTGATATCCATCAATACGCAAAGCGGTTCTCAATGGGATGGATTTCGTTAGTCTACCCCATTCTCTTTTTCCATTCAACATATTACATACACTGCATGCCCTTCTCCTCACCTCCACTCCACAATCCAATCCTCCAACTCAAGTTAATAAGACTCGTAAAGGTCACTGGGCACACCAAGCCACATCCCTCTACTATAACAACCTTCCCCACTCCGAAATCAGCTCTCCCCTCCCAGAAACCCCATGCAAAAACGGAATCGATGCCTGGACCACTCGCGGCGGCATCGTCGGACGCGCCGTCCTAATCGACTATGTAGCCTACGCTCAGCGCCACAATATCTCCTATTCCCCAGTCACGAGATACGAAATTAGTGTTGAGATAATCGAGAAAATTGCAAACGAACAAGGAGTCATATTCAAAGAAGCGGACATCTTGATTTTGAGGAGTGGGTTTGTGAAATGGTATGAGGAGGCGAATACTGAAGAACGTATTCGAGGTGCAAAGAACGCCCATGAGTTCGTAGGCGTGAAGGCATGTGAAGAAACAGTGGAATGGATATGGAATCGACATTTTTCTGCCGTAGCGTGTGATACGGTTGGGTTTGAGGGTTGGCCACCAGAGGCAAATACGGAGTGGGTTTTGCATGATTGGTTGTTGGCTTTGTTGTGAGTTCATGTTATTTTACTTCTTCTCTCTTTTTCCCCATCTCTTCCTTCTCAAATCAAATCGCTCCCCCCTCTCGCTCTTCCTGGCCCCGAGAAAACATCAGACAGTTTACTATCTTTCAATCCCTCCACCGACGTCAACATCAAACTGACTTTCCAGTCAAGTGGCTGTCCAATAGGCGAACTCTGGAATCTCGAAGAATTGGCAAAAGTATGCGCGGAGCAGAATCGATACTCTTTCTTTTTCACTAGTGCGCCGTTGAACTTTCCTGGTGGGGTAGCAAGTCCACCGAATGCTGTTGCTATCTTCTAGTTATGAAGTCATGAGAGTGAGAAATGTGAATTGGTTGAACATAACGAGAGGTGGAAAGGGGGAAAGAGTGGTAATTGTAGTTGGATTTTCTTCAAATCTCTTCCTGTTTCATCCTATTCAATGAACTTTTGCCCAAGATATGCCTTGATCCATTTCCCCCATGAATCTGTATCTATATCTCCCTCTTGCTCACTGCTCCCAAATTAACCACATTCCTCAAATTGCCAAACGGCAAAACATCACTGATTCTCTTCGAACCACTCAACCACATAACCAATCTATCTACTCCGCATCCCCATCCGCCAGTAGGTGGTAATCCGACTTCCAACGCTTGGATATATCCTTCATCCACTTTATCCACCGGATTCTCTATATCCTTAAACTTCAACTGTTCACTGAATTTATATCTTTGTTGGAATGGTGAATTTTCCTCCTCGTACATATTCGCTATCTCTTGATGCTGAATGAATAGTTCCACGCGCGCGGAGACAAGCTGCTTGGTTTTGGGATCGAGGAATGATTTGGAAAGGGGTGCCATGGAGGAAGGATGGTGCATGATAAATGTTGGTTCCGAGCAATGGGGTTCGATGTAGAGGGATGCAAGTTTATCTAGGAGACGAGGAAGGGTTGGGTTTTCGGGGACTTCGAGACTATGCTTTGTAAAGAGTTCGAGAAGGTCGTTTCTGGCGGCATTTTTCTGGAGATCTGGTAGCTTTTTCCCAAGTGCAGCTTCGACTGCGGGTATGAATTCGATTCGTTTAAAGGGTTTTGTGTATAAATCTTCTTCGAAGGGTGGAAGATTTGCAAAAGGCATGTATTTGACTTGTTGAGGATCATCACGCAATCCATTAACAAGCCTTACGAGGCCTGAGATTAACTTCTCGGTCATGGAAATAAGATCTTCGAGGTCAGCGTATGCTTTGTAAAATTCACAAGTTGTGAATTCCGGATTATGTATCGCATCAAGACCTTCATTTCTGAATGCAGGACCAATCTCGAAGACTCGATCTAAACCACCGATAACCAAACGTTTCAACCATAACTCAGGAGCTATTCTCAGAGCCAACTGTTTTTCGGGGAACTCCGTTGCATTCGTTTTGAATGGTTGAGCCATGGCACCTGAAGCCTTGTCGGCAAGGATTGGTGTTTGAAATTCGAGGAAATTGTCTTGAACTAGGAAATCACGGATATGTTGTGTGATTTTGGATCGAAGTCGTAAAGTAGCAGCAACATCATTGTTGACAAGAAGATCAAGATGTCGACTTCGAATACGACTTTCTGGATCCTCCAACTTTTGAGGTACTGGCGCCAGACTTGGAGTCAATACATTAGGTATTTCGATCAATTTGAGAGTGGAAAACCCATTTTCTTTTCGAATTGGGTAACCAGTTGCAGCTGTCATATGTTAGATTTACAAATAACATGAACACATAAAATCTTCACTCACAAATAAAATCTCCACGTTGCATCAGGTAGGTCAAGTTTTCGAAGGAAATCGGTAACTGCACATTGACATCTTGGTTCTTGAGAATCATCCCAGATTCAGCTTCTAATTGGATTGAATAACCATCTTCTATTATATTTATAAAGACAAGCTTGGAGCCAAGCTTTCGTATACTTTCAATTCTACCTACAAAAAAATCAACTCCTATTCATTCTCTGCTTCGAAGACGGTTCCTTACCATGCAACGTAAGAGCAATGGCTTCATCACTATCCACACCTGGTAACATTTCCGCACATTTCTCAAGACAACTTTTCACCGATGCGATTTTACCAACCTTTTGAATTCTAGGATAATGAAGAGCGCCAGCTACCTGAAGTTTTTTAATCCTAGTTTCGGTGGGATCTAAACTTTCCTTCAACTTTACCCTACGAATATTAATGCTCTGTTCTGTCTCGCAGTCGAGTCTCTTCCACCTCTCATTGCGTAAAGAGTAATGTGTAGAAAAGAGTCGAGCATATGCAGCTGGCTTTACCGGAAGAATATCATGATAGAGGTAGGGTCTAAGAAACCGAAGACCAGTAAGAGAACTCATTCTATATTCTTTAAAGCGACTCAATTAGCTTATATCCAACGAAAAACAAAGTGAAATCAAATGAAGATATAAAAGTTGAGTTTTTTCAGACAACGGATCGATGTGAGATCAACCACTCTCCCGAAGAAGGGTGTCAGTCGCAACGGTTCTAATGTTATATGGAAATCATCATATAAACTCATGGTGAGATTGAGCAATAGAGCAAAAAAGAAATACTATACATACCAATTAATTATTACACTCTCTCAGACCAATTGTTGGTGAACAAGAGAGTGTTACTGTTGACGAAGAAGTTGATGGAATTATTGTAACCTCAACTTCGAGTTTTATCTTCCAAAAAATGTGTATCTCCGGAACAATGATTTACCGACGCTAGTTGAGCTTTCCCTTCAAAGTTCATCCACCTAGGATTGAATCGCAGATATCAAACCAAAGAAGCCCAAATCTATTTGATACTAATACATTCCTCTCGTATACGAATCATATATCTTCCAACTTCACACACATAAAATACCGCAATCATGTCGATGTTCGGAATGGGTCGTCCTCAACCATCCTCGCAGGAGAAAATCGCTGCTGCTGAGCAAGAGATGGATTTGATTACTGATATGTTCAACAAGTACGTTGTCAATGAATTCATTTGTCATTTGGGGCAGGCCCCCAAATTCCATAACTCGTTGCACTCGGCCCTATATAGCTATATTCCATACTCAAACAATCTACCTTCACGGCAGTTGCTCATGGAGGGGTAGCGAAGCGTCGGTGCCCCAGAAGCTAGGAATGGCTTCATTTTTACTTGGAATACCTTCACGATTTAGACCCATGCTAATCATTTCGCCTCTAGACTCAGTCAATCCTGCATCAAAAAGTGCATTCCCAAAGATTACCGCGAGGGAGAACTCAATAAAGGCGAAGGCGTCTGTATCGACCGCTGCGCATCCAAATTTTTCGACGTCCAAATGAAGATTTCCGAGTTATTACAAGCTGAGGCCGCAGCCAAGGGAGCTGGTGGCGGAGGGTTCGGAGGTGGTGGATTTGGAATGTAAATTTAAAGATATCTATGAAGAAAGGTTGGAGGAAGTTGTGTGTTATTGAGCCGGTTCATTTGAGTAAACAAATGATGCAAAGATGACATGATGATAAAAAGGCAGGCACGAAAAGGACTCCACCAGGATACGTCGAGGCTATGAAGAATATTTATGGGTGATGATAAGCTCATTGATGTTAATATTGTACAATAGAATGTGATATAAGGATCACACAAGGTGGCTTTTTAAGTCCACTGCCCCCATTTCTAAAACTCCAATCCATACTACCATGCTCAGGTGAATATAAATGCTTGATGGGTATTCCCAAAACGCCTGCTAAACGAATCTCCTCGGATCAACAAGATTGATATAAAATTCAAGGATTCCTTGGTGCCAGAATATTCGGTCCAGTACCAATTCCCGTAATAGAGCGAACAAGCCAATGAGCCCAACTTTCCTTTCTAAAAATGTTTTCCAGTTCGTCTGCTCTTGCCTCCAGATCATCTACCTGTCTTTCGAATTCAGATACTCCATCCTCTACATCCTGCACCTTCGACACAAGAGAATTGAGCTCGTACTCAAGTTTGGCCCCAAGGACTTCAATATCCTTGAGAGTTTCTGTAACATGTGATCGTTCTTCACCAAGGAAATCCTGTGTATTATTCCTTAAATCTTGGTATTCTTCGCTCAACTGTATGTGTAACTCCTGAAACCTTTCCTGATCAAGAGCAGCTTGATCGTCTAAATGGTTGATCCCGTCAATTTTCCTTTGTACCCATGGGCATAGATTATTTTGAAGGTCCAATATCTTCTCGTATATTCGTTTATAATCCTCGTTGAGTAATTTGTGATTTTGTAAAGCGAGCCAGTCATCTGATTCGTCAAACTTGTCAGTAATACTAACAGGTTCCCAAGTTAGAACAGCGTCTTCGGCGTCACTGAAAGACACATGACGCTGTAATTGATCTTCGAAACGAGGTCTCCTAAACTGGGATGTATCGGAAACACTATGCCGACGATGAAGTATCGCCACAAAATTATGATTATCACTACGTTCTGCTTCTAGAACTGGGCCTTCAAGGTCACCCTCACCACAAATGGACCCTGAAATTGAAGGCTCCTTTGCGACAAGTTCACGACGAATCTCTTGCGCCTGTGCCTGCCATTGTTCTTCGGCTTCCGCGGCTTTCCTTTCTTCCAATTGTGAAGCAGTTAAAACTTGGGTGACACCTGGTAAGCTCGTCTTGGAATTGCCAGGAGGTGATTCGCTATCACTTTCGCGTAGCCCAGCTTGCGCTAATCCATTTACAAAGTCTTTACTTTTTGGAAATCCATTTTCATATTCTCCTGGTTTGGCTTTCCAACTAAATGCTTTATTGATTGTCGGGCTAGATGGTGTGCCCATTCCATGAGGTGTTGCAGTCAGATGTCCCGGGCTAAAATAACCACCGTTTTCATCGAATTCACGAATTTCGTCTTTCGATTGTTTACTGGTATGACCGCGTAGACCAACAGCATCCTTGATTCGTCCAAAGCCTTGCTTGGCCTCACTCATTTTGCCTGTAGCTTTCTTGAAAACAGCTTTATGGAGTTGGATTTCCCGATCGTTTGGTGTTTCTAACATGCTCGTGGCCGATCCTGGCGGCTGTGCGGAGTATATTTCATCGGAGACTTCTTTCTTGCGGATATCTACATCATCCTCTGGTGGCATTGAATCAGCTCTGCTGTGAGACCACATGTACCCGCCATGGTCATCCTTCGTGAATGACATGTGAGCCGCAGCGGGCTCTGATTTTCCATGATCATCGGCACCTGTCCGTCTTGATTTTCCATACCATAGCCATTTGGATCTTGCTCCATGTATCAAACTTATGAAGCGCTCTAAATCCCAGGTTTCAATGTCAGCAATACCAGACTTATCACGACCAACCATTCCCATAACCATTTCACCACTCTTCCCGCTAACTTCTGCAAGGGTCGATTTGACTGCTTTTGGAACTGCCCAGCCTTCTCCCGCAGCACCTTTCGCAGTACTTTGATGCAACCGCTGTAAAGTGTGCCTATCCAATCTCCTAGTACGCTCCATCTTCTGGGACTTTTGAAAATAAGCAATACCACGCTTGAGACTAACAACATCAAATGCGTCCTTCGCCACCGGGGCTCCATAGTAATTGAGTCGATTTCTAGCACCCATGAGTAACCCAAGGAGTGCGGCCACAGTAGTCGGACCCAAGATTCCATCGGAGGGTTCAATATTATAGTATTCGGATCCAATCTCGGTCCACCAATCATTTATCGCTCTCTCCGTAACGTCGCAAAGACAGCCGTCCGCATACTCCTGTTCTAATTTCCCGAATATCATTAGGGCGACTTGACAAAGTTTCACTAATTCGATGACAGCGCCATAGAGAGGTATTCGATCGCTCGTCCTGTATAATTGGAAGAATTTGGCTTGTGTAGCAGCGGCCGGGGCTTGAAGACTCATGCCAGATCGTCCAGAACATCCTAACCTCTTCAAATTCTCGTTGACAATGAAATCTTCCCTATGCTTCCTTACATCTCCATTCGGCACAGGAATGACATTTAGGCCAGAAGGAAAACTGCTCAGATTTGTCACCATCAATGTTCCCAAAGGCGTGTCCTTGGGTCTGGCGTGATATTGGGAAATGGCGTTGAAATAAACTCGAAGTCTCGGATTCCATGTCTCCTTATCTGCAGGTATCCCCAGCACGCCTACTTGAATCCTATGCCTGTCATCTCCCGTATAGGTCGTTATAACGAACGTAGGATGGACCCTCGAACATGCCCATTGCTCAACAAGATAGATTTCGTAGCCCCTAAGTTCTCCGTGACGTTCTATCACTCCCGTTGCGCTGTCCTCTTCGAGATATCTGTTAGAACTCACGCATTAGTAACTATTCCTGTAATTGATGTTGAGATTTTTTCATGCCTGAAAGCAACTGGATCAGCGAATACATAAGGCTGCTTCGCATGTTCTAGTTTGTTGCCATTTGATGTGTTCGTTGCGCCATTGGCATTACCGTTCTGTTTTGCTTGAGAGGTTGAACCACTTTTATAAGAATGAGAAGTCGTTCTGGAAAGGGTCAAAAGATCCTCTCTATTCATATTTGGATCATATGCATGAGGAATAGAGAAACGAAAAGACATATTATTCCCCTTTATGCCTTTATCACCCTTCTGTCCTTTGGGTCCCTCAATTCACTAACTAGTAGGCTCTGCGCTGTGCTGCGGTAACCGTTACTGGGGTCCTTTGATGTGACGTCGATGTCGGAAGGGAAAACCTTCATTGCATTTATCTTTCTTCCCAAGAGACGGACGTTAAATGATATATATAAGGAATTTCACTCAATATACCTACCTACCTAGTATGTTTCATATGATCAAGAATAGATGTCCATCTTTTTTTGTTTTTTTTGGTTCTGAAGTCACATAACTTTGAGTTGCATTAATCATCTAGAGAATTCGGGATTTTTGTGCTTTTGCCGTTCATTCCATTCCCGGTTCATTCAAAGACTTGCGCATGTGATTTGTGATTTATGATTTGTGATTCAGCAGTACAAGGGAGAAAGCGAAACAAGGTCATTAATGAATAAGGAATAAAGTCATCATCCTAGGTCTCTAAGTGTTCATCATCCCTGAACACCTTCTATAAGTGGGTAAAATTCACCTGTAGCTACCCTAACAAATCATCATTTCTCCAGGGTTCACCTGTAACTAGAAAAGGTATCAAATCCGATGAAGACCCGCCAAAGTTAACTGACAATCATATCGTACATATCGTACACACGACGAGCTGTTTCCAGATCAATAGCATTTACCATAGTACGACACTGACACCACCGAGTCTACGTATACATTTCCCACTATCATATACAATACACTACAGACTTCTCACACTCGACTTCCATCTAGCATTTCAAGCGACATCGATAAAATTACATACCCATATTCGAAAGACCAAGGCGGGGTGAATCGCTATGGATGTTCTTGAGAAGGAGATCATTAAGCTGCAGAGGGATTCCAGCTTTGATCAGAGTATTGAAGATGTGGATAAGATCATACAGCAACTGGAAAAAGCACGAGATGCTATTGAATCAGGTATATATATCCTGAATCCCCGAAGAAGCAAGTCGGCGGCGGAACTCAGGGACATCAAGACCTGAAAACATTGAATGTCCCTATTTCCATCCCGGCTTGCTTTTTGATAATGATGTATAATCACTGAACGGTTCCCTTCATCTAGAACCTCAATTCGCTTCCATAACTTTAACCAAACTCCAGCACCCATTGAAGAATGGTTTTGAGAAAGTTAATGATGATATTAAAAAAATCCATAAAGCACATGGTACCTACGGCAAAGCAGTAAACTCGGTGAGTGATGCATGCTTATGGTCTTACATGTAATGTAAACCTTGAGCTGACCATTACTTCTTTAGAATCTGCCAAAACAAACATTACTTAACGAAATCGATGCTCTTGCAAATCACACCGAACTCGTAAATCGAGCTATCACCATGCACCTTTTACGCGAAGGACAATTCGGAGTAGCATCAACATTCTACGAAGAGTTACAAAACATGAAAAAGAATAGCTCGGGTCCAGGAGCAGATTCAAACTTGCTTGCGCCAGAGGACGAGACTGTGGACGTAGGACTCCAAGGTGAATTTGAAACCATGTATAATATATTACACCAGCTCAAAGAGCGAAATCTTCATCCAGCAATAGAATGGGCACGAAAGAACAGCAGGGAACTCGAAACTCGAGGCAGTAATCTCGAATTCGAACTCAGCAAACTCCAATTTGTTTGGTTGTTTCTTGGTCCCGAGACAAACGGTCTCCCAGATGATGAAAACAATGGTCTACCGGGTGCACTTCAATATGCTCGTGATTACTTTCCTCGATTTCAAAGCCGGTTCCTCAAAGAAATTCAGCAACTTATCACGGCCATGGTGTTCGAATCTAACCTTCAAAGATCCCCTTATCAACAAACTTTCAACACCTCCAGCTCCTGGTCTGACGTCTGCACCTCCTTCACCCGCGAATTCTGTTCACTTCTTGGCCTCTCAGCCGAATCTCCGCTTTATCTCGCTGCAACAGCCGGGGCCATCGCTCTCCCTACCCTCATAAAGCTCGCTACGATCCAAAGAACAAAACGTACGAATTGGACAACGGATACAGAACTTGCGGTAGAGATACCGTTACCGAGAAGCATGATATTCCATCCAATTTTCGTATGTCCAGTGAGCAAGGAGCAAACGAATGAATCTAATCCGCCAATGATGTTACCTTGTGGTCATGTGGTTGCGAAGGAAAGTTTGCAGAAATTGAGTAAGGGTGGGAGATTCAAGTGTCCATATTGTCCAGTTGAGAGTCAGATGAAGGAGGCAAGGCAGATCTACTTGTAGGGTAAGGGGTGGAAGTGGGAATGGGGAAGGGATTTTGATGAAGAGAAGTAATGTTTATGTTTATGGCAGGCGTTGGTTTTGGGTTGTATATGGACGGCTGAAAGGTTAGTTTGGTTGGCATATGTTAGGATATGGCATTAAAGAACGGGATGGGACGGGGCGGAACAAGGCGCTTAAGGGATATGGGTTATGGGACACACACATACATATTACGATTGTTGAAGTGTCTTTCTCAGGCTGTGCAAGCAATGGAATAGCAATGAACCGCGGAGAGGAATCTCCACACATTAGCATAAACCATCTACTCTACATTGGAATAGAAGAATGAATGAAAGATATCACCATCTATATTCTTGATCTGAAATCGAGAGTCGAGTCTCAATCTCAATCGTGTTAAAAAGGGGGACAAGGTTTGAAAAATCTAGACCATCATGCATGGCAAAACTTACAAAGTACAACAAAAGTATGTTGTCATTCCTGTCCTGTAACGGTGAGGATGAAGATAGAGGTCTCACGAGGAGAGAGAGCCGGGTTGTGAGGTGTGAAATCTGAAGTCTGAAGTCTGAGATGTGAAGTAAAAGCAAGTGGGAAGGGTGAAGAGAAGACCGAGGGGGAAGGTTCGAGTGATTTCAAGCAGAGTGAAGTGAAGTGAAATCTGAAGTATGCTTCGAGGCGATTAGCGAGAAATGACGAGGAGGGAGGTCAGGTTCATCACTAATACCAACACATTTACATTTCATTCCTGCACTTTCTAATATGTCATTTCTTACTCAACCCATTATATTTATCCTTCTCATCGTGATAGCTAGCTACAGTATCATCAATTTGAAATTTCACACTACTTTGTTCAAATCTATCCGCTCTCTTCACTCTCTGGTATCCTTTGGGTTGGTTGTAACCTCATCAACACATCTTCTTAAGTTTCCCCCTTAGCAGGTTCTGCCTTTGCATTTTCATCTACATGATCCGCCTTCGCTTCTGTTTCTGAGTCGGTTTCCATCTTGGTATCTTCCTCTCCTCGTACTACATTTTCCTTGGCATCGTCTGGTTTGATCTCAGAGTCTGCTTGTGGTTCAAAATCCATCTCCTCTTTAACCCTCTTTTCCCCAGCTTCACTTCCAATATCATCTTCTGCTGCTCTTTTCGATGTAGTCGATTGGTCATCGTCATCCTTAGCCTCAATCTTCATGTTCGCATCTCCGTCTGCATCTTCACTCTCCTTTGCGCTCGGTTTCCCATCTTCTCCTTCCTTTCCTTTCTCCTCTTCCTTCTCCTCCGTAAAATCCGGCCTCCTTCCCACAGCAGCCTCAACATCAATCCCGCCCCCAGTCATTGGCACTTTTCCCGGTTCTTGAGGCCCCATGTCTTCCATTCCAATTTCCTCTGGGCCCCGTGCATGTGGCATCTCATCGTCTTCTCCCATTCCACTTTCATCCCCTTTCCCCGTCCGTTCTTCTCTCTCGGGTTCTCTCTGGATTCTTAATTGCGATGCTGGAACCACTCCAGCTTTCTGTTCCTGACGTAATAATTCTCCCTGAGTAACTCCACCTTCTGCTCTCAAGCCTTGTTCTCCAGAACTAGATGGCGATGAAGAAAGTAGCGACATCATTGCATGAGAACCAACTGATGAAATACCGTTTACGGATACAGAAACTGTCTCAACACCACCCGGTCCGTTCGGTCCATCAATTGTTTCGGTACTCTCTGTTCGTACCTCCCCACGAGGTGAGCCGCCTCCAGAATTTGTGCCATTTGAGCCTGTGTGTGAGAGGCTCGATTCCCGCTTATTCAACCAACTTATGGGAGTCAACAATGCACCTCCTAGTGCTTCATCACTACCTAGTCCTCCATTCACTGGAGCGGTTCCAGTTGTCGGCTTACTCCAGGTAATGCTAAGAGGGTCAACGGAGGGAGTGGTTCCATTACTGAGGACAGAGAAAGAAACTCTTGGGTCTGGGACGGCAGGTGGGAGAGGGAATGAGGTGATGGGTGATGTGACATGGACGACGCGATCAAGGGCGTGGAGGTAAGAGGGAAGAGAGCGGTGGTGTTGAGTGGGATTTAGGAGAAGTTCGGATAGACGTTGAATTGTATGAGGTGGGTGAGTTGGAAATTGCTTGTTCAATGTATTTTGGATATCGAGAAGTTGCTTATAGCAGATTGGTGGAAGAGATTCTAACGACGGTTGGGAGGTAGTAAAGGGGTCTTCGGTATTGGTATCGCGTTTGGGGGAGAGTGAAGGCGAGGAGGGGCGAGGGTGTGTTGGAGGTTTGGGAATTTGGAAATCGGTGATGACAATCTAGAATTGTAAGTTAGCTTTCGACGCATAATATAGAATTGCTAAAGAGGAATTCAAATCAAAGCATACCTTTTCCAATCTGGTCATCAACCTTTCAAGTAAACTCGGCCATGTCGAGCTATAACCCAAATGTCAGTGTGGAGTCCATGATACTTCGCATTTCTGGCGATCGTAAGTATGCGCAAAACATACTAATCAATAGATTGACCATGTGCGAGTGTCCTCAATACCTCATCATCATTATCAATATCCATTTTAAGTGTTTGCGACAAGATTGAATGTTTTGTAGGTTGATTGGGTTTGTTAGATATTGAGCTTGGTAGGCGCGTTTGATAGTGATAAGTGGTCGGTTAGGCTTGAGGTGACGCGATTACGATTGGGAGTGATAAATGATAAAGTCGAGAAATTTTGGTGGGAAGGAGCTTGGGCCGTTGACAGAATGGAGGGGAGATGTGATCTGGGGGATGGAGTGAGAAAGCTGATCAGGTAGAATTTGAATGGGAAGGAATGATTATATGGATTCAATGTCAACAATCAGATTGGTTACAAGATAACTAAATTTGCATGCTATTGACTTTTGTTCATATAAAATTAGTGGAGTGAAATGATATATGTTTCTCTATTACCAACTCCTCCAATCCTTTGACACCTTCCCTATAAACAAGCAGCTTCGAACGCTCTGAGAGAAAGAACCACTAACATCTCCCCCCCCCCCTTTCGCGAACCGACGGTGTTCTAACGGGCCTCGCCGACCTGTTCTCATTTTGCCTTTTCGATTTGAGACTCCAATACTTACATTGCACTTGGAGGTTTTAGGTGGCATAGTAGGATTCATGGCGAGATACTATTCAATTTAATGCTTCGGTTTGAACGATCAAAGAGACTCTACGGCAAAAGTTGAATGAGACATCGAGGAGTGCTCTGAGAGTCGTTGGCCAATATACGAAGGATTACAGTAGTATCCCTTCGATCTGTCAAAATGGTGACCCATCAAAGTCATCTCGCCTGGGTCGAATTTAATGATCAAATGGTCCTTCAAGTTCTAACTATGGTAAATGAATCATGATTCAAACCCAAATAAGTATTCGATGTAGCAACAGTCCTCAAATTTGTAGTGCAGACTTCGTGATTAAATGGCTTTTGTGTCAAGTTGGTTGTGAATAACATCGTCCATCGCGGGGTCTAGGAGATGATCGCATGAACCTGGGATTGTGAAACGATGAACCTCCCTATAGCCCGAGTGGCCATGAAACTGAGGCTCGCCTTATTACTAAGGGATGACGAACATTTAAAGGGCCTTGTGAAATTGAAATTCATTCAACATATCAAAAACTGGTGACTTTGGAGTGGTTTACCTAGCAGTGGGGTTCTTTCAGCTTTTTTTTTTTTTTTCCTCTCTCCAAAGATTAAAGTATGCCTTGAGCCTGCTCTAGCATAACTTCCAAACCAACCAACATCGATACTATCTATCTATGTATGCATGGAGCAAAGCTGGGAAGGCAGGATTCTTTCATGTGGAGAACGAGGGCATAAATAGCATATGCATGCATGCATGCATGCATTAGACAACATCAGAACCTTGATTATCAACCTCCCTCAAGCCTCTCTCCATCTTGATCGACCGTTGATATCAATTGCAATCAGCCTTAGAACACTGCCTCACTGATCCCACCACGTGCCCACCGGGAATTAACCTTATAAGTTATCGTTTGGTCAAGTTAGCCAAAGGGTCTAGAATCCACGGTTGCATGGCAATCTTGGTACCCTCCCGACCGGCGGAATACACTTAACTTTATTCAGCTCATTTGAATCACATTCGTAATAGAATTTCCATGAATGGGACCAAAAGATTCTCAAGTGCTATACCTAATACGTGTATATCCACTCGAAGATATATTGGTTGGTGGAACGATACACGTATGCCTGGATTTTCGCCTAGCTCTCACCATCCTCGTTCAATTCATATATAATACCAACCTCCCTCGATTCTCTGGCTCTCTTCTTCTCTTTCTCCTTATACTTACCTTGTTGAAATGGCCGTTGATCAAGCATAACGGCGTTGCGATACGAGTCCTCCATTGCACATCGGGGCGACGAGAATCGTTCAGTTACTTTCGGGTACCTGATCGGCGGAATTTTTGATTGCACAAACCTTCGTGGATACTTTCTTTTCATTGAGATCTTGGCTTAATGCTGGGACTTGAAGAAGAAGAAGAAAAAGAGTCTTGAAGAGGAGGGAGTGAGGGTTCTGGTCATGTTTTAAAGAGGTCAACAGAAGATCTGATTCCACAACGAACAACGTCGACCAATGAATTTGACGATGTGTGATCACATTGAATTGTCTATCTCCGTGTTGTGGAAGTGTGGTGTCTCGAAAGAAATCTATACCATTGCCAAGATGAAAAATGGTTTCACTCAAGAATGAGAATGATTAGATGGTATCCGGTCACCTGAGTTCTTTCACCCATTCCCATCCAAACTCAGTCTTGGAGTATCATCACTCCGACATTTGTTATTGATGTATCAGATTAATTGTAAAGTTCATCTCTTGATTAAAACGAGATCCATATAATAAAGTTCATCACAACAAGAAGAAGACTAGGAGGTGCAGAGTTCACGTTCGTATTGACTTTGCTGTCATGCACATCCAATCCTTCTCATATGCATCATGCTGCGAAACATAGATCAGATGTAAACAACGATTCGTAGAGATGGAAACCGAGATGAAAATAGAAAACGACATACATGAACACCAACATTAAGAATGTCATGTCATGATCACGTTAATCAATCCACTCTTGAGGTGGTACAGCTATGCTAATACCAGGTATGCTATGCCACCAATTTCTTACATACATACCTAGGTACATGACATGTACCAGTGTATTCATTCATTAATTATGCCGCAGTTTCCGAGAGTCGCCAGCCATATTTTCATCTATCGCATATCGCTGAGCCTCACTCCATCCCATCCCACGACTGCGCCCAGTTCTCCAGGATTGAACAATACCTACACGCAGCAGCCATTCTATAGAAGCAATATTGTATGAATTGATGATGATGATGATGATGATGATGATGATGACTTCATTGCTTAATGTTTTGGGGCTGGTGAAGAATAGATGGATGGATGGATGAATGGATGAATGGATGGGAATCTGAAATCAGTTATATAGATGTGAATAAAGTAATTTCCTAAGAATGGGGGGGATTTGTGGGTTTTGTATGCAAGTTGCAACGTTTGGGTCACTAGGTTGGAAAGAATATAGCGCCAAGTCCCTGAAAGTTTCAGCGTGATTCGTGGTTAGTAGCTGACCCAAGGCCAGGTTAAGCCCAGGTTAAGCCCATTTTAATCATCTTATTGTACTGTAGATGCCCCAGCTGATACCCCGTTCAGGATGTAATAAGTAAATTGACATTGATTGTTCATTGTTCACTATCAGTTTTTATTTTTCATTTTCCCATTTCTCATATTCCATATTCCATATTCCATATTCCATATTCCATATTCCATATTCCATACCTCCTGGACAGTACGAACGGGGTACGAGTACTTCCAGGTTACTTGCCTACTTACACTTACGAGTACCACAAAGTTAATCAATAAATAAGAAGAAATATGAAATAAGGATTAAGAATTAAGAATTAAGGAATCGGAAATCGAAGAACGAAAATCGGAAATCAAGTCAATTAATTCATTTCAACCTTTTAAGGAATTCCCATACGGGTACGATACGACACGATCCGATACTATCCATACTACTCTAACTCTACTCTACTCTACTCTACTCTACTCTACTCTACTCTACTCTACCCTACTCTACCCTACCCTACCCTACCCTACCCTACCTCCTCCTGCCTTTTACCTCCTGCCTCCTACCCAGCTAGCGTTTTCATCCCTTCAATCTCCAAATACAACAACAATACTCGAGAGGGAAAAAAAATCACGCCCATTCACTCAGACCTCCTCTCTTCTATACGACGTATCCTATCCTATCACAACATCCTATCTATCTATCTATCTCTCTCTCTTTACCTATCTACCGAAACCTCACCCTCTCTCTCTCTCTCTCTCTCTCCCTTCAATCCCTCCATCATTCTATACGCTCTTCCTCATCCCTCCCATCCACATCCACATCCACATCCACATCCACATCCACATCCACCTCTCCACCCTCCAACAAATCCATCCGACCTTCCGCAAACCCTAAATTCATATTCAAGAGGAGAGAGAAGAAAAAAAAGGGAATCCTTCGTTATTCGACCTCCAATCGCACCCTTTGCCAATAAACTCCTACAATTCACACTCGTTCACTCGCTCACCCTTCCTTCGATTGATCGACTTCCTTATACGACCTTCACTTTTTGGTCACCCGCGATCGTTTCTAGAATCCCTACTGACTTCCAAACCCACCTCTAAAAGATCTCAACGCCACACTCTTGACGTTTCACCATTGGGTCACACCTTATTCATACACATAACGAACCAAACACAACAGACAGCCGTTGATTCATTTTTTTTATTTTTTTTGGCCTATCCATCCATTTGATAGACTAGCATATCCCCAGTCTCCATCGACATCCAATATTCTCTTCTGCTGAGACCCCCGCTCGCAGTGCATGAATTGATCCAACCTTTTCGCAAACTATCCGTCCTCTTTTTTCATTCCACGACAGATTTAAGTCATTCGCTCCTTGGCTCCTGTTAAGGAGCCTTAAACACCGCCGAAGTGGCTTTCAGCAAAGACTCTCGAAAGTCCCTGCTTTCTCTTGGTCAGGGACCATATGAACAGGACGCTGGAGGTTATTTCCATCGTGAAGGACTCGCATCAGGACCCAACGCGATATCAGCAGCAAGAAAAGAGAAGATGTATCTCCCAAATACCCCATGGACATGGGCCTTCATGATTGCCGCAACTGTACAAGCCGCTACAGTTCTAGCAATCGAATCGTAAGTCTTCCAACAACGGGGAAAGAATTCGACGTCGCTGTTTCGGTTTCATTTACTAACATTGATCCCTAGATATGTGTTCGCAAAATTCCAAACCAGTCTGGTCGAAGGCAAAGAACAAATAGCTCTCGATAAAACAATTCCAACCTACCTTACTCTATTCATTTTCGGTTTCCTTTATCAAGTTGTTCTAGTATACGATTCTTTACGACTCAAAAACACAATTCAGGTTATCGGTCTTTGCATGTACAATGGCGGAATGCTAATATATGCCTCCATTCAATACGATCAAATTCAAACAGCGATTGAATCTTTAGGCCTGCTTGGTTATGTGGATAAGGACGCAGATGTCTGGCCGGATGTGCAAGGGTTTTTGGTCGCAGTTCCATGTATCATCGCTTTCTTCTCCATATTGATGTCGTTCATAGCCTGGAAACTTTATGACGAATTTGCCTGGACGATTTACAAGCATATTAGCGCTGATTTGCGTATGAAGCGCAGATTCTTGACCTACCAAGTAAGTCAAACGATGTTGCTACTTCGATTACGCAAATACTGACAAATTCAGATTTACATTGCCCTGTTGAAATTCGATTTCTTCTTCTTCTTGGGATTCACAGTTCAATTTCTAGTTATCGTTACACACGTACAAGATTTCGAATTCGGTTTGACAATAGCCGCCATTCCCGTTACCATCTTCATTTTGTTCATGGCCGCCTTCTGGACTCGACGTGAAAACAAATCAGGAATGCTCTCAGCCATCTTCATCTTCCATTGTGGTCTGGCTTACTTCATCTTCAAACTGGCTCGAATGTACCAACCGGCCAGAGCTGCAGACTATCTGCCAGTTCGTAAAAACTTGACCAGTTTCGCCGTCATCACAATCATCTTGATTATCCTCACAATCGTAAACGCTTCGTTATGTACGGCAAACTTCAACAAAGGTCTAAAGCCGCATTTGAGAAAACGCAAGATCGGTAGTGAAGAGGAGAAGATTGATCACATGACTGAATTACCGGATCTCAATAATTCTCACAAACAAACGAATCGAATGACAATAGATTAAACCAACAAAAAAATTGTGGATAAAAAAGCGGCATATAACTTCAAGACATCTGATTGTATATCTCGGAATTGGATCAAGGTTGTTTTGGACGGAGTGTACACTGGGACGACTATGACATTGGGTTTTTCTTTTTCTTTCTTGTCACTTTTTCTTTATTCCCTTTTTCTTTTTTTTTTATGCGACTTTTATTGAAATAGTCCTTTTTGAGCGAAGATATTTGAGCTTGCCTTGTCTTGGTCAATACGGCTGGCAGGCAGGTAAAGGCAATCGAGGAATCGAAACCTCACTTCATACCCGGAATCGATGGATATTGGTTGGTTGGCGTTTGAAGGGGCGTACTATGTGGATTTTTGTGTTAGGAATGGCGCAAGTGTTTGCAAGGCAAGATTCACATAGAATCATGTGATGGTTGGATGATTACTCTTTAGATCTTTTATTCTGGATTGGATCGACTTGCTGAGCAGGAAATCCTTTTGGCGGAGAGAGAAAGAGTCAGAAAGTACGGCAGCATAGCATTCAGTAGCTTGCGATTTGATGTTTGCATATGAAATCGCTAGCGAAGCGAAAGAGATCTTTTGTGGATGTAAAAGTGGAAGGAAGTGGGGAAATGGGGGAAGTGAATGAAAATTATGGTCTTCAATATATGTCTAATGATTTTTTGTGCTTTTTATTTCATGTGACTGTTGACCCAGTTGTGAAAGAATGATCTGCAAACAATAGAGGATAGTATATTATCATATGTTCCTCTCGTCTACTTGTCCCCTGGTGACAAACAGGGGGAAATGGATACTGGTTGGTCAAAGATGAAAGGATCCTCTGCACTGTGTCGAGTGTGTTAATCAAGTATGCCTACTACTCGACAATCCCATACATGGTTCTCTCACTCACTAAACGATACTTTTCCTAGATCTCTTCTTTTGATTTAGAGGATTCTTTGGGGGTGGAGGTCATGAGCTGGGGTGAAATTGTGATGGTGGTTCTTTGTAGTATGAATGTTAGTCTTTGAGAAGGAAGGAGGTGATCTCATGGGAGATATCTAGCCCCACCTAGCATGGATTTGGACTTGGATTTGGGGAGTTTGCGGGGTGCTTCTGGGGGCTGCAATGAAATGAGATGAAATTAGTTTTTGTTAAGTTTTTTGTTGTCGCTTGCTTTTTGCTGTTCATATGTGTGATTTGGTTGAGATGAGATGGTATGGTGTGGTATGGTAGGTAATCGTGGTCACATCTTTGTCATTATTTTCTTCTGCTTCTGTCGTGCGAGATGGGAGAATCTATGGGGAACTGATAGTTGGGGATGCTGTCAGTGCAGTGGGGGCGTATTGACTCCATTTCTCAGTCGAACTGTTATGCGAGTGTTACGCTTCTAAGTGTAGTTGTTTTTGGTTGTGGTTTTGGAAGGGTGCGTGTGTGCGTGTGCTACATTCGCCTGTGACAACTTCTCGAGGGTGATTCGCAGGTGTCTGAGATTTAGTCTGTGAGTGAATTAATGTCTTGCTAATGGTAGTCATCTATATTGGTACCTGAATCGAGATCGAGGATGGGTGATGAAAGTAAGTGTCTTGTGTCTCCCTGATCTTCTCGCTTCGTGTGCTGGCCACCACATCACATCACGTTACTTCCTACTCTCCCCTTGTTTCTCGCCTTGCGAAAAAAGTTCTCAGTGATCTCTGCTCGGTTCACTCCTTGATAGCGGAGCAATTGTAAAGCATAAAAGATCTAGGATCATCCTTTATTTCCTGCAGAGAAAGAGGCTGTTACACGAACTACAACATTATTAAGACAATTGGGAACTTCTGAGCTTTACCGACGATACCTTTGCTTGGTAATCTTAGGGTTTGTCGTCAGTTCTCTGTGCAGATTTGATGCACTTGAAACGAGTTTCTATGTAGTGACAGTATTCAAATAGAGATTGATGAAGTATTCACGTTTTGACTGTCGCCGAGGATGCAAATAGTCGTTGTTGATGACTTTCCTCATCTCTTCTGTGTTCAAGAATTGAGTGATATGTAAGTATATCAAGCTTGTACACGGGAGCTAGTACATAATGCCATGTATCTCAACTCAACATATCTCTATGCTCTATTTTTTTGCTAGCGAATACAGGCACATTTTGGCGATTTAGTTCTGCTCATGGATTGTTCGCTTAGTATCTTTGATTGATAGCCGTTTTTTATATTGGTGAGAAGTTCTTCAGAAGAAATTGTGGATGTTGATAAGTGAATATATAAGCGCGTGGCGTTCACTTTTGTTGTGATGTGGGGTCGATTAAGTTAGAAGATATCCCCCCTCTCGTTTCCTCTTTAGCTTCATTCGATGTAAGTGGGCTTTTGGATGGTACAAGAGTGATGAGCCATATTTACTTTTACTTCTCAAACTACTTTCAACTCAGATGTGTCGAAGTCCGATACGTCAATCGTAATAAGAACTTCTCGTCAACCCTCATAACACAGAGTTTGGAAATGTTCATTTCCTGACTCAAGAGAGACTTTACAGTAGAGAAGGTTAACTTTAAGCTGTCAAGTCTTCAGGATCAGATGTATAAATACCAACACTAACTACTCCTTAATCCATCAATACAATTGATATCTTCTACCATCGAACTCAGAGTATAGCATTCAGGATCGGCGGAAACATTCCAGGACTTGAATTTCCAGGTCGAACAATGAAGAATACAGTTTGTTCCTGGCCTGAACATTTTTTGCTGTCGTCAATTTATCTCTTTGGCTATATTCTGACGTCACTGTTTCCCCTCGCTTATGATTCATGTATCGCTAAGATAAGTCCAAGAGCAGATGGATAATGCAGAAAAATTGCAAAGTATATGGAGCATACTATCTATACTAATAGTAGTATATCAGCATTCTATCAAGTACTGTATTGCAATAGTGAGTCGGGGTGGCAGGGACTGGTACGTGGCATTGTCTCTGATTTAGTCTGTCTCTTGTAGTGGAGTTGAGATCGGAGAGATTTTGTCGGCAATGGCTGGACCGTCACTTAGCATTTTCAAATTGCTACGTCTATGGGTTTCCTGTGGGACAAACATACAGACTTCCATATAGAATATAATAATACCCACTTAGATACTCAAGAAAGGTAACAGTTTCTATTCACTCGAGCATCTAATGCCATGATGGCACGCAGAAGCGTGTTCAGGAGACTTCTAATGACAAGGATTGAAGAAATGAGATGGCTTGTACCCACGATTTTAAGAGTACATATTCTTGGTGTATGAGATGAAACAGGTAAATTGGTTATATTTTTTTATTGAATTGGTCAAAGGGAAGTTACAGAGAGCACAGAGTAGAAAACCGGCGATATGCTTATTGATTGTTTCACGTGTTCATGCATTTTGGATGTTTTCGTCAGGAAGTGTCACTGTCGCTATGATTCCAAGTTCTTGGTGTCATCTTTGCTTGCGTATTGTCCTCTTTACTGAAGAGGAGAGTTACTATGGCAATTCCTATCATTTATATGCACATTTGACACAAAGTCCAACGCAAAAGTGATTGAACCAACGAAAAGTTCAGAGTCCCAAAGGGATGATCGATTGAGCCTAAGCGCCAAATGGGATTCTGTTCGGAAATAGTACTTTTTGGGAACAACTCGGAAGTTGAGAGATTTTTTTTTTATTGGCCGGCATTATTTTTTTAACGACGCAAAAGAAATTAAGAGGTCTATGATCAGTGGACGGGTACACTGGTGTGTAGATTCTTCGAATTCACTCATCAGAGTCTATGAATGTAGTCAACAAGGCAAGTGCATGATATCTGTGTCGAGACGAATTGAATTTGATTTGACTACTTCCCTCGCGGTTTCGCACCACCATCACGGTTCCAACATACGTATAATTCTTTCGAATATAACACTGCATAAATCATGACGAGCTATCTATCATGCAGTGAGAAGGTTCAGATATCCAGAGCTTCAAATTTCAGATTAAATGTTATTGAATCACAGCGAAATTTTGTCATCATTTGTTCCGTTTGATCTTTGCTATCTGTAATATTTTAACCTCGCCTATCTTAAGACTATGTCATCAGATGCAGTGATATAATGTTGAAAGAATTATTCACCTGACTTATGGTATGATATTGGCAGGTCTAACATGAATTTTCCACGTTCGGAGACATCCCAGCCTGAATGGTATCGACTTGATCTTACGTTTGATATGAAGATCTAGTCCAATGGCCTCGTATTGAGCTTGAGCTCCGTGGGAAGAGGGGCATTCTCTCTTGAATAAATGCTGTTCTTCTGGTTGGTAGAAGAGGTAGGATTGGCGAAATTGAAATAGTAGTAAATAGGCAATCTTATGTTGCGCTCAAAACATTGAATTTCAATGGGTGTTGTCGTGTGTGAGATCTGATGCCCAGTCCTTTCGCACCTGATACTTTGTATTCATAAGAAGCAATGCTACAATGGCCAGATTAGGTTATGTCATTTTCATACTGCAGAGTAATCAATATGAGGTATACTGAGCTAAGCTGGCTATAAACTATCCGGACGACTTTGATAATCGCTTTTCAGCATCCGTTTTAACAGTCTTGTTTGGCTCGGTATCCTAGAAACTTGTGTGCCATTATATTTCACGACTATATCTCCCACGGGTGCCTCAATTACCTTATTCAAAAGTGTGACTCTCGTCAAGATAGAAGCTTTGGCGTTCTATTAGACATGGAAATGGTACTCTGTGTGTGTCTCGTGTTCTGTTGCTCGTGATACAATCGAAAAATACGATTCTCAGCTTATATGTGTGTATACCAAATTGATCAGACACTTGTGTCAGGATTGATGTTAACGAACCCGTCCATTCTAGCATTAATGGCAAAGTAGTCCACTAAAACGAACGAATATGAGATCATCTATAGGTAGACAGGCTTGAAACGATTTCCCTCAAAACCCAAAAACCAGCCAAACGATTACCCGGCACATCATGGATGTTCCTTGTACCTCAGAATTTCTATGAGGAATATAGTATTTATCAGTATGGCAGTGTATGTGATGATAAACCGCAACAAATAGATTCCAAGTTGCTATTGTTCTTCCATGTTCTGATATGCAGTGATCTTGAATGGATTACAGCGGTTCGAGGAGAGTGACGAAGAAACTCGATATTCATATCACCTGCTCTGTGAACCCGTTCAGAAAACCAATTCATATAGCAAAACCCACAAATCGCTGGTTCTTCTTCTCCTTCTTCTGCTTCTGCTTCTGGAAATGTAGATACCTATGACAGTGGGTTGAATAAGTTCATTCTTCGTGTAGTCATGGTTATAGAGAAGTGATTGTTGGAAGATATAGCCTACTCCTTATCACTTAGGTTTGAGATATCAATATGGAGAAAGGAGCAGTGTAGACAATAGTATTTCCCGTAATCCGTATACAGGTTAATTTAGTGGTGCATATCAAATTTTTTTCGAAATATATATAGTATAGAATTCAATACTACTGAAAGTATTCAATATCATTTATTTATTCAATATTACTAGCAATATACTGAAATATAGGAATTTATTATAAAAAATTTATTCCTATTTATATTAAACTATAGAATATTCATCCCTTAATTAAACTGATATAAAATAGCCATTTCATAATCTAATATGAATAGAAATGAATATTTTATAATGAATTCTAATATTTCAATATATTACTAATATTCTTTAGATATATAAATATAAATATAAATAAAAATAATATAACCCCCTTTCCAAATATACTAACTGCAATATCAATATAATAATACACACCACAATTTCAGTATAGTATACTAATGCCTACACTGGAAAGGAGTGCAATGACCCGAGACTGTTCAAAGAGACATACTATCTTCGCAACAAACAAAAATATGTGATTGTTTCCCGTTCACAGAATAGCACGCAAGTATGTATGTGAAAGCCTCGCATTTATCTAAACTATTTTACAGTCCTTTCCCATTAGTTCGCGTTGAACCCCAAATTCCATTTCGCCCCTCAATCTTTCCCATCATGATTAACCATCTGCAACAATGATAACTTTAAGCACTCTTGCCCTCCTTTCTCAACTGAATCAAGATAGCCTCTCCTACTCCGCTAGCACTCGCCGGATTTTGTCCTGTGATAATCTTTCCTCCGTTTGCCACTACTATGTGTGACGCCCAGTCATCTGACGCCTTTTCGAATTTGCCATTGCTAGCTTCAGCTAAAGCTGTTTCTAGCTCAAAAGGCATGTTTGAAAGACCTATGTATGCTTCCTCCTCGGTATTTGAGAATCCAGTCACCGGAGCGTTTTCAAGCAAAAATTTGCCGGAAGGAAGTTTGGCATATGCGAGGGCTGCAGGGCCGTGACAGACAGCTGCGATAATGCGATTCTTAGAGTGGAATTCAGAAATGATTTTGTGAGATGTTTCGTTGTGTGCAAGATCCCACATTGCTATATATGTTTTAGTAAATTGTGTGCATAGTTTGTGACGTCACTCCATAAATGGCAGAGCAAAAACAGGGGAGTACTTACGACCATGACCGCCAGCATAGAAAATAGCATCAAACTCCGAAGCTTTGCCTACGAAGTCCGAAAGGGGTGCAGTATTCTTCCATAGAGATTCTTCATTCTTCAAGAAATTGACAGAGACATCATCTTTGGAAGCTTCAACAGATGCGGGGTCTAAAGGCGCAGCACCACCACTGACAGAGGCGACAGTGATTTGAGCATGAGGAGAGAGAATGTCATATGGGTGAGCAAACTCGGGCTGGAAAAGAGGAGAAATGTTAGCTATATAGTTGTAGAGAGAAGAAAAGATATGGAGTGGATGCTATTATGTGGAAGGTGAAGGGAGACGAACCAGATACCAGCCAGTAGGCTTTCCAGTGTTACCCATCTTATCATGGGAGGTAAGGACGAAGAGAACCTTTGGTTGTTGAGTTTGAGAAGACATTTTGCTGTGTATGGTAGATTGAAGTTGGATGCTGTAAGTTTAGAAAGAGGTGCTGGTTGGTAAGTTGTTTGTTCTTGGGTGAGAAGAGTCAAGATATGATTGCAATGAAGATGAAGTTATTTGAGTATGAGGATTTCTCCATCTCGAAGATATTCACTCCTCTTTATACAACTTCCCCTCATGAGTTCTATTGATTCACTTGTACTACCTTGTGTGGCATGACGTGCCAAAGTTTCGGCGATAAAGACCACCCACAGTACCTACAACAAAATCAACAGGTTGGGCTCCTGATTCAATGCATCAAGCTGCACACAATTGCATCCCAAAATGCACATCGTAAAGTACAATCAACCAAACTGTTGGAAATGACGTGAAACTCTTATCCCTTCTTGGCACCCATATCCAATAATTTGGTTAGAAGCTCTATCAAATAGGCTCAATTACCCCTCATTGGCATCAGCGAGAGCCAAACAAATCATCTCCTGGACTCCGGAGTTGACGCCAGACCCACATGATTTATCATATCAATCTAAGCAGCGCGAACCTTAAAATCCGACATGCAAGTCTGGGAACGGTGGAAGTATTGCTTGCTTGCTTGCTTAAACATTTAAACTCCGAATAACTTAGTGCATGGCAGGCGCGGTGATAATACCTCTGCTTAGGACTTGTGAGACATCGATAATTCGAACGAACGAGAAGGTGGGATTGGTAAAGTACTGACTGTATGACATCTTTCTCAGGGAGCTTCTGGATGCTTCCGATAGTTATGTCTCGAAATAGAAAGCACGCAGTATCTAATCCATACCATATATCTTGAGATCGTCCATTCTCGGCAGATCTATGCTGTGATGCTGTCATTCAGACTAATTACGATGCACGCAGATAACCCCGAACGTCATGGACTATACCGTCTTCTTACCCGACAGATAAACGTATCACGACGTCGAATTTTGCACGTTGTGGTCGTTCTCACGGCGAGTATACCTAGTAGGATGGAACAAATCTGTATGTGGTGTAAACAATTCACCTGGGGGCACAAAATGTAACCATCGCTCTCGCTATTCCCTGGAGAGAATAATACACGAAGTATCTCCTCACTCTCATTTAAGTAAAATCCGAAAGAGCATTTTTGATTTGTAGGTGGAGAATCCAGAATGTAACCTTATTAATGTACGACGGTTATGTAGCTTCATTTCCCTTCATTCCATCATTCATTTTCCACATTCCGATCCATTTAAAGGAAATGCCATCGCCTTATTTACCATTCCACCCACAGTCGCGTCTCATTACTTCCTATTCTCATCCTTCCATGTTTCCTAGTTGTTTATCTTCTCGTTGGTTACTTCCTTGGCCTCTGCCTTCTTGGCTGATAGAAATTGGCTCAGCCATTGGAAGGCCTCACTTGATACGATCAATCCTGTGCTGACGACTGCCTTTCCGTAGCCGAAATAGCCCTGATCTTCCGTCTTCTTGACCTCGTTATTGTATTTTCCCAACACATACTCCTTTCCCTCGTTGCTTTTTGTTATCGGATAGAACACAAAGTATTTTCCATCGCTATAGAGTTCGCCGGTAGGCTTCTTGACCGCAGGGAATTTCGATTCAATGGTGGATAGAGTAGAGTCGCCAAGTTCGTCGGCTTTCGCGACGTAAGGAGAAACATATTGGTAGGGTTTTTGGAGGTATGGAATGAATGGTTTGCCAAACTTCTCGTAAGAGGTTGCAGTCAGGTTGATGGATCTTTGGCCATAGGGGTTAGACTTGAAGGTAGAGATGGAGTCGTGGATGAGAGGGTAAGATGTGAGATGCTAGATTTCATAACGTCAGTATCATGGCTTCAAACGAATTCATGGTTTGGTGGGATTACTCACATCGAGGAAGACAGATGAGGGAGTCTCGCCGTTTACTTGAGGTGCCATTCTTTCTCCGTCGTGTAGGATAAATGTAGTACTATATGTGCTTCTTGATGGGTACGATGTTAGCTGGGTCCTGGATTCTATGCCACCATGGTATAGCTTGTTCTAGATCAGAGGTTTATGGTCGTGCCTTGCAGAAGGCGGCAATGGCAAGCAGGAGTATACATACTAGTTGCTTGGTATCTGACAATTCGTTCCTGAATGGAAATATGAGTAGTATAAAGCTTTGAGTGAGAGGGGTGCGAGATGGTGGTCAGAAGATTGAAAGTAAGTTGTGTGGTCAATGAAAGATGTGTGGTGTCTAAGGTTAATAAGTGATGGAAGAGCAAGAACTATGGGTAAAGTTTGATGCGCCACAAGTCTGGATTTTTTCCAAGAGAAGTTGATATATAGTAATAAGATGAGATATGTGAATTTGCATGTGCTCAACGCATTCCCTGATCTGATTGCAAACGGGTTTTAACCTGGTCCATTGGAGGATTGATTGGATATATTCAGCCCAGGGGCTAAATAAGCTATTGGGATTGGCATATGATAGAGATTTTTTTGTTTTCTTTTCATTTCTGTTCTTTCTTTGTTTCTCTTTCTCTTTCTCTTTCTCTTTCTCTTTCTCTTTTAGGGGGAGGTGGATGACGGTGCAGAAGATGTTGTCAAGTGGATTGAACTGGACTGGGTTGGACTGAATTGGATTGGATTGATTGAGAGAGAGTCAGAAAGCGATAATGGAATGATGAATGATGAATGATGAATGGTGTGGCCCGGGTGGCCCGTGTGAGTAACTAGGTACCTACCTAGTCCTAGTAAGCTTGTTTAATCCAATGCCAAGGAGCATGTGAAAGTGTAATTCCATCAGTACGTACTACAGATCAAGATCAAAAGTTATGTAATCTTTGACATTATAGAGGGAGAAGGAGGCTACGAGAGATGTCCTCTTCATTACCTAGGTACTAGATACTAGATACTAGGTACTAGGTACTCATGGCTTGATGTTGTGTAGGTATTGGGCTTTAAATATGCTTATTAACTTACCAACTTCCCTAGTAATAACTTTACCTGAGAAGCAGCCAGTGCAATGTGAAAGTGATCAAAGATCTTGAGTGTCTTATCTCTTATCGCCCGCTAAAACTTACCTATCGAGCCTATCTTTTCTTTTCACCGATACGGCAAATGTGAATTTCTTCCTTTCTTATGAATATCAGATACCAATGACGAAACCCGCTTTACCATATATCTATCTTATCACATCATATATCAAAAACTCTTTCAAGATACCGTACGCTCATGAGATTCGACCTAGATAGAGCTTCTACTTTATCAAACTTCCATCTCTCCTAGACCTAGACCTTTGATGTGTTAGGGCCAACATGAAATCTAAACCCTACGCGGATCATCTCCAAGACCCAAGGATGATTGATATCTGATTCCTACTGCAGAGTAAATGTCATGTACATTGAACCCTTGATCTCCTGCCTATTTGTATCATACGATATACATCAGTGCCAACTAGATATGGCTGCGTATACATGATGATACACCACCCCTTTGTATTGTGTTTCAATATTGTGCATCCTATACCAATTGAAGCCGAGCTTCGTATCGCTGGATGGATGGAAGAGTCTGTCTTACGCATGGCCAAAGTTAACCTGGACCAACTACGCTCTCAAGTTTTGACATGTGAAGGTGTGCTTACAGCCTTGAGTCTAGACTGCAGGAATGACTACGCACATGCATCACTAGGGAGGGTCTTGTATATTTAGTAACCAATAGTACAGTACGACTTTTTCTACCTTGATTAGGCCCAGAATGAATCAGGTCACCGGCTTTAGACATTCTCTTTAACCTCCAGTGAAATATTCGACGTCGAATCATGTAGCTCTTCCGGGTACATATATACTTATGTAGAACAACTAAAAACTGTTGAGAAGAGAGTTAAAGATTCAGCTGGGCCAGCTCTGCATTTGGAAAAAGAGCTTGTATCTTTGCATCGATACATAGCACTCGCTTTTCCTAACAAAGAGCCAGGTTGAACTTTCTAAACACCTCTTTTCCACAGCCTCTTACGTACTCTCAATCACATCATACCGCCGAGACTGAATGATTCAACCAATGCATTGCCACGTCTGATATGACTGACACTACAGGTCTCAATTAGCGATTTCGGAAAGCTCTGTTCTCTTATGGTCACCGCCGTGGTGCCGACTTCCTCCAGGTTCACCACCATTATCATCTTACGATTTTGTGAAGTGGACATGTCCTGCTATAACTGGAGTGCTTCATTTCTCCAATATTCTTGCAAGAGTTGCAAACGACTGATCGCATCAATATTTCACCTCGCCTTCAAACTCAACGCGCTCGCTACAATCTACACATCGTTCTTCGTTTTAATCTTCTTTCGTGCTTCCTCATTAGCTGGCATGGATCGTTTTCTTGGAATATCGTCATTTGCAGCTAGTGTCGGCTCGGCATCCATTTCAGATCCATCTTTGACAACCGGCTCGGTATCCCACTGCTGAGCCGCCACAGAAACGGAACCTTCTACACGGCCGGTAACTCGTGCTCTTTTGCTCGTGGCTCGGAATAAGTATACCGCATGTCTATTTAGCGACGTATAGTATTCTGAATCTTCTTCTGTAGGGTTTGACAAGCGCCAAGGTCGAGGTTCTTCAGGGACTGCAGCTTGATCAGTATCAAAGTGAATGATGAACCCAAGACGCTACATACATAAATGTATCCAAGCCCAACTTTCGACCAACCAAGGTTGATTGGGGCATGCGATGTCACAAAAGTATATATCGTAGCTTTCCCCGGGATATCTTTTCTGGTATCTTTCCTGCATCTCTTTCAAGACGTTGTTGACTTCTTCATCTGTGTAGCCGTATTGTGAGCTTGTTGCTTTGGCCAGAACCTCATCGTAAATGCTTTCATATGGTAGCCTCATCATTCCTTGGTTGATCTGCATCCTGAAAATGTGTTCAACATGTAGAGATTTGGATTCGTGATGAGCAACGGTATGTTGGCGGGAAAGTTGAAGTTGGGTGGTGTTTTTTTGGAGAAAGGAAGCAGTGAAGTGGCAGATATATGAAAGTGAAATTTCAGAATTCAGGAAGCTGAGAATGATCGTCATTCACGGGACGGATTCAACATAAAGTACGGCTCTTATGTTCAATTATGCCGTATGTATCTAGTGCTGTATTGTTATATCGCATCAATCCATGGCATTGCGATTCAAAGATTTGAATCCATTCTAGAGATAGGTATCTTGCCTTCGCTCAAAATCAGAACCACACACCTCGTCAAGACATACATAGTGAGTAAGGCAAGGTATCTAGCCATATCACCTGCATCAAATGACCTAATAACACTAAATTGGGTGGCCTTCATAACCCATCCATTTGATCCTGTTTCTAGCTGCAAACACCAACGTCGTAAATCACATTACCTTTCAGTTATACCTCATTCCATCGTTTATGTCTTCTTCGTATCTATCTATGTCCTCTATGTATCCACCATTCTAATGCCCATTCATATAGCTTCCCATCTTTCCTACGTTCAAATAACTTTGGTAAGGTCAGGACATTGGCAGTGTCGTCACTTAATCGAGATAACATGAATTAAAAGAAAACAGGCCACCACTGATTCTCCAAACACAGGTGCCCTTATATTCAGGCACAAATGATGATACATGGAAGGTATCAAGCGAGCTAATATCAGTTCCCTAGATTGAAATTCCAATATTCTCAGGCTTAGCGCACGACATGCGTGAGATAGAACTGTAGAAGTTTGGTCACTACTATTCATGGGGGTTTTTAGTAGATAAGGCGATCGGTTTGCAACTTTGGATGCTGAAACGTCGTTGGAAGAACCAGTAGATTTGTCAGTAATTCGTGTTCCATTGGACCGTGACGATTCACTCATGACTTTGAACTGGGAAATTTGGACGGCAGCATCCTTCTCGGCATGGCATCTTCTGTATTGAGCTGCGGCATGCTCTTTGATCTTACCTGGGTGTAATATCATTGGCAGAATTTGTCAAATTTTCTGTGTCGTTTCTTCGCCAAGTCTCGGTTTGACATTTTGATCAATTAGATGGTATTTGAAAGCTTTAAGCTTTGAGTTGCCTTTCAACTCAGCTCGAATGTTCTTAGGTCCTTCCCCTTTTGCTTGGTCATCGAAATGTCCACACTAATTTACATCTCCTTCTCAACGTAGTCTTTTCCCCGGGAGTCTATAAAGCTACACTTGAACTGACCCTTTTTCAAGATTCACCAAGATCTGTTTTGCGACTATGCTTCTCGAGTACCTACATAATAAATCGAAACCTCCGGCGTTCTATTATTCAGCGCCTTTCTGAAGATGCATGCTGTCATAACTTTACCCAAATGCCCACCTTGAGGTTGATACATAGATATCCAAAAGTTGCTCGTCGGTGCAAGTATATCTTTACTGGTCCTTTTTTGTAATCATTGCTTTCAACTGTCACATCTTGACAGTGTATTGAAAGAGCGATCAAACAAGAGACAAAACGTTTGAGCCGCAGATGTGGTCTATAAGGCTTGGCGTACGTTTACCTCATATTGACTTGGCTGTTTTAAAAAAGTTGCCCACTGAGGACAAAACTTATACCTGTATAAAGGGGGATGAAAACCCCCTGAAAGCATTGTTCATCTCCAGCTATCCGAGGTATTAGGTGAATACCAGCGACCAATTCACTTGTTTGGGCTTACAATCATAGCCGGTTCTATTTCTTAAGCCTTTCTATTGACGAACTTATTCAGTGTGAACAAATACGATATAATCTTCACTGAAATGAATGCACCAAATAATTGATAGACTCGTGCCACTATTGATTTCGTTTGCCGAGCGAGGGGATATCTGTCTCGAAGAGCGGGTTAATCTACATGTAGATATATGTTTCGATAATAAAATGCTGGCAACGAGGTTCTAGAGCAGAAACCTTTCAGAAAAATTGAATTCATGTAGAGCGTACTTCTGCTTTGGATTTGAACTATGATAATACAATCTATCCAGATTAATCTATCTTCCCGGGGTATTATTGAAAGAAATTCTGACTTGACTCCATTTCTCATTCGCGACTCCTGTTGAAATCCCCTTTAGCTTCTCTATCAACACTGTCAGTTCCGCCCCTTGAATTCTCTGGCTTAACGCCAGTGTCTGGGGTCATCTCGAAGGTTACTTTCTTCTCCTTTTTCCCACCTTTCTTCCCATACTCGCGTAGTCCCAGAATTGAGCGAGCTTTAAAGGCCGCGAGCCAAACACCATAAACTATGCTTAAAATCACCGTGATGAAATCCAAAATATGCACAAACCACCAAATATGCTGAGTACCCAATCCACAATTCGCGAATTCAAATTGCCACTCCCAACTTTCTTTGTCGAACCATAAGCTCAGCAATCCCGCATTTCCAGCAAAATCCCCCATCATACTCCGTACAGTTACTTCACGCAGTCCAGGTATGCCTGATTGGTTCACTAGATGTTTGGCTTCTGGGTATCTATCGCACCTCCACTCTCTGTCCTCTTCAGGTAAGCTTTGGTTGATGTAGTGATAGATATCACAACCTTCATGATCGTGGCCGGTTAGAATTATACCATGTCTCCCCATGCCATGCCCGTCTACATGCGCACTACCGCTCATGCCAAATACACCTTCTAGCATACCTTTTGAGGCATCGCGGGAGAGGTGGTTTTGTTCCTTAACTCCATTCTCGAATTCTCCATCAAAGAAGTCAAAGAACGGTCCGTCTACACAGATCCCTTCGTCTTTATATAATGGGATATGAGTGAGGAGTAATGTAAAAAGTGCGGATCGCTCAACGGCGTGAGAAGTACTTATCAAGTCATTAAGGAATTGATATGACTCGTCTTGGAGGTCTTTGTCCGATACGGGCGTGTCGAGATTCATGTCATTAAGGATCATAATCCTAATTTCGGGAATATCCCTCTCATCTGTCTGGATGCTTGTCGTAGAAATTGGAGAAGCATTATGGTTAGAAGGTAGCTGAAATCGAAGTTCGTAATTCGCTTTCCCAAAAACGCGCTCAAATCGAGCTAGTCGATCTTTCGAGATATCTCCAGCATACCCAACATCATGATTACCTGCCACGTTTATAATCCTCTTCTTCCATGCCGCAGCATCATCTCCCAGCATCATTGTATTCTGAAAGTCGAAAGCGGGCGGCGACATAATCTCATCCGGAATTCGTTCTCCATGTTTGAATACCCGATTCCAATACCTTCGCCCACGTTCATCGAATTCTTCATCATCTATCCATTGACTCCCCACAAGATCTCCAAGTACAGTAACATGTGTAGGGTCCAACCACCAGTGTGTTGCGCGGTAGATATGTCCCAAATAATAATCATTACCAATGTGATCAAATCGTTTGCGATAGACTTCAAAAGCCTTAGGAAGGTCGTCGAGCCAGAAATCTATTATATAATGGAGGCTATGTCGCACACGCTGTAGAAGGCTATGTTTTGTGCCGCTGACGATTCCTGAATCTCCAAAGAATTTCTTCAAATTGGGCAAATTGACAGAATCGACATCTTGTATGGATGATTCACCCTCGAGTTGAGGATCCCCCAAGGCGAGGAGCCTGAACGGTGCTACCTTGCTGGGATCATACAGATTTGGAAGCGTATGTTGACGAAGTGTATTGACGTATGCTTCTGAAGCATCGTATTCAGGAGAAGGAAAAGCGCAACCATGGAATGCAGGGTACAAATAAAGATAAGAGGTGAAAGTCAAAGAGAGAGGCACAAGAAGAAAGAGTGCATAACGAAGCACCGATATTAAAAACATAAAGAAGGTAGCATTTGAGCACAGCACACAGTTAATCTGGCAGTAGAGACTGAAGTAATATGGGAGAGATATGCAAAGTGATGGTGGTATAGAAAAGGAGAAAAGGAGAATAGGAGTATATTTTTCAAATATCTCTCCTTCTCCTTCTTCCGGCCGATGAATTTCATCAAGCCCACGCAGATTTGGCAGTTGAACAAATTACTGGCTAGAACCCAAACAAGGGCTAAGAAGGGTCCGAGCTCTGAGAGATCTCTTATGTATCACGTGAACGTTATGGTAAGCACGGTCAGATGTCACGTCACGGATGCGTCGAGAGTGCCCACTCTTGCCACTCTCGAGGCACTCTTGAATTCTGCCCCGCAAAAGAATGAAACATGGAGGAGAATGACCGAATGATCAACACTAAGCCTCCACGGTGTTCCTCTAAGTTCTAATCAGATGTTAGCACGCCGGCTGAAGGCATCCCTTCGGGTTTCCATATGTTCGGGAAGGGAACTTTGATTGGAAATTCATGCTAAGCCTTAATCTCTCTAATGTGTCTTGGTTACTTTGACTTTACTGCTCCCACTACGTTTGAAAAGCTGGTGAAGGCAACAGAATAGAGCTGAATGTCGATTGGAGGAGAAGCTTTATCAAGCATTTATCAAGCATTTTTCAAGCATTCGTCAAGTATCATCTGACAGCCATCGGAATTGATTTTACGACAGACTTTTGCTACATCAATGTTAAAGCGGGAGATACACCTGCACCTTCCTTCTAGAAAGCTTCTAGCGTCATAGTCAGGGCGATCTTCTCTTCCTGTCATTTCTGCACAGCACATCTCAGCCTCACTACCAAGGTGTAACATCGTTGCATTCCGCTACAAACTGACTATCTATACGCATGCACAGAATGTTTCCACCTCGTGAATGCGATCGATTAATCCACCATATATATGGTGGGTGAATCTCCTTGTCCACTCCTTACATTTCATCTTTCCTGCATCAACTTTATTTTACACAATTATCATAACGAGCCATAAAGCTACAACTCCTACGATTTATACTAGGTTTCCGCACCTAAGACGCAACCTTCCTTTCTTACTGTCGCTGGAGTAGAGAATCATTCAACACACTATGTCTCTTCTTGATAAACTAATCCACAAGGGAGGCCAAGAAAAGTCTCCCGAGAAAGACGTCCCTTCCGCTCATGTCGAGCACCCATCTTCACCATTGTCACCTAGTTCCTCAGCCATAATAAACGGAGCACCACCAGGTTATACAGCTACCGATAGTCCCGCCGAATCAAATCTGACTGCAGCCTTTTCCAATCTCAATGTCTCGGAATCGAGTATTCCTGCTTTTCCAAATGAAGATCTATGTCTTGCACACCTCAAGTTGTTAAAGACTTTTCATAGTCTCAAAGAAGATGTCGGCTATACCGATGGTTTGTTTGGTCTATGGGATGCACGTTGCGAACTTCCGGTCGTCGAGAACCGTGACAAAGCATTAGTAGCGATGCGAGAAAAGAGATGGTCTCTGTATATTGCGAGAGCGGTAGAGAGATTTGAGGATTGGTGGTTGAAGGTATTGTGTGAGCAAGAGCATGCCACCAGGTTGCAGCAAAGTTACATGAAGACTTACACGGGCTTCATCGATTTTCCGAAGAATGGTGTAGCTCAGGTTTGGAGCACGTCAATGTTGCCCCCTATAGGTGTGTTCTACATTTCAAAATTTACACTCACACAAAGTATGTCCTAACATTGAAACAAGATGTTCTCATGGTATGGCATTCATTGATGCTCAACCCTCGGAACTACCTGGAAGATTGTATGCGTTTCGGTTTGAAAAATTTGTGGGCAACAGGCATGCCCTGGTATGCTGTTGATACAGCTATTGATATCAGCTTGAATTACCAAGTAACAGAAGCAGCCAAAGAAGGATTCACAAATATCACAGGGCATCATTGGAGCAATGCCAATGATCATGCAGCAAAGACACTAAATTGCCCGCGTTGTTCTCAGGTATTGGAAATTCCATGGACTACATGCGCTGCAAACGAAAAGCCATCACTGAAAGAGTATGAAATTCGTTCTAGTCTGTTGGGAATTGTTGCTAATATTAATAGAATTATGGACATGGATGGTACAGGTTATGGAGATCGGGATTTATCACACATTTGCCACAAATGTGGTGGTCTAATCAATCACGATCTCTTGCGAGTTGCCAAGTTTAAGAGAGAGGTCGAAGATCTGATCGTGAGAAACTATCCTCTAGGGGGAACAATTCTATCTCCGAGTACTGGCATTCCGGATGCCTCAGATTCAAAATCTGGTCACTTGCACCAAAATTCATTCCCCAATCGTATGATTGCTAATGAGCTGAAGGTAAAAATACTAGAACTAGTTGATAAAAAGTCTAATAAAAATCCCTCTATGACTGATGTTAGGGATCTTATTGAGGCAACATTCAGAAGTAAATCAGCCCTAAATAAAATCAACAGAGGGAGGAGCACATTGCTACGAACAGAGTGCCTCTCAGTTCGAAAGATGATGTCGAGATATTGGCAAAATTCCTCGATATTCGCGCTTGAACTTGGAGGTGCTGTAATTCGTCAGAGTGTGTTTGTCGATAAGATGGCAAGTCTTGACTGGCTTCATTCCCTGGCTGCTCGAGAGACGATGAGTCGATTACTTACAAAGTATGAAAGATTCATTGAAATCATGCGTCTCCATCCAAAAGAGGTTTGTGTTCCAACCTTGGATGTTGATTTGGCATGGCATACCCATCAACTATCACCAAAACAATACTACGAGTATACGTTCTTAAAGTGCCAGAAATTCATCGACCATGATGATAAGATGGAAGAAGATGCTCTCTCTACTGCCTTCGAATGGACAAGTAAGACCTATGAAAAACTCTATAGACAAGTGTATTCTGAATGCACTTGCTGGTACTGCGAAGGTGATGACTGTCCTCTCTCCACCCAGTGCATGCTAATATTTTTCAGCCATTCGCTCCAAGCATATTGATTCGTCAAATCGTTTATTCGGAACCTCCAAGCACGAAAAAGTTCTGGATACTTTCTATACATCTGGAGCAGCAAAACAAGTAAGTAAACTGATAAGGAACTCGATGAATTCTTTGTTTTTACTGCCTGCTTTTATGCTTCGATTATACATTCCGCTTAATAATACTCACCCTATGTACTCCTTTTATTTCTACATGTAGCATTGATACCTCGTGTCTTTTCGAATTTTATTCCTGATAGGCAATACTGATCCCAAGTCTTACAGTGTGACCCCAACAATAGCGCACACATCAGCGCGCACTCCGCTGTTCGAGTCGAAGATTCCGAGACCCGTGCTTCAGTCTTCGATAGACTTAGCCGAAGAAATAAATTCGAAATGAATCGCGCCTACGATAAAGCTCGTCAGAGAGCTGAACAGAAGGGCAGAACTATCCCTCCTAGAGAGGATTATTATTACACGTCTTGGGGTTATCCATATATGATGTATGGACCGTACATGAGTCCGATGTACGTCGGTGCTCCGACTTACTATGCAGGGGATCCGTGCGTGATGCCTGTTGGTGTGGGTATGGCCGGAGCTTGTGCAGCAGGATCTTGCGGAGGTACTGTTGCAGCTGGTGGATGTGGCGGCGCTGGTGGATGTGGTGGAGGAGGTGGTGCAGGTGGTGTAGGAGGTGCAGTAGGAGGGAGTGGCAGCGGATGTGGAGGAGGCGGGGGTTGCGGTGGAGGGGGAGGGGGTGGTGGTGGTGGTGGTTGTGGCGGCGGTGGCGGTGGCGGCGGGGGGGGTTGAGCACCATTTTCCTACGCGGCATGATTCGAAATGGGACGAAGCGCGCTTATGATGTCATGATTGATTTGGCTTTAGAATATGAACTACTCTTATATTGTTATCTTCTTAACCTCGCTCCTTATTCAATCCCTATTTTTATCTCTAGTTTTTTATTCGTCCAGACTTGATAATTTCGTTAAGATAGTTAAGTGTGAAACTCGTTAGTTCATTCAATGATTATCATGAATCTCGGATTTCACGACAGGACAAAAGCGTTAACTATCCATGTCATACTATATAGCGGAATGAGAAGTATCGCTGTACATTGATTGAAGTTTTATAATTTTGAAAGATTGATTCCTGATCATTAAACTAGATTCAATATCCAGACTGTTCATTTCTTCGATATACGGTTCGTATTTTTATTCTCACAGTAATATCTTCTAGATTAGTATACTGACTCGAATTAATTTATAAAGTAGAATCTTCAGAACTATATCTATAGCTTGAACTAGAATTATAAAGAGTGACTTTGATTATATTTTGATATTATAATTGACATAGATCGTCGGAGAAAGTTGATTATTAAATCATATGTTTATAAAGGTTACTGTTATTGTTTATTGACTACTATAATCATTCTAGACTATCTGAAATTCATAGTCTTAAAATTATTCTACTCTAACTATTAGTACTATTAATAATCATATAGAGAGAGTTCAATAAAGGAATTTATATATTATATTTATAATAAATGAAAATATGAGTATGAAAGTATAGTCACCGTGTACTTCTATTAGCTGAAACTTCATAAAACGCGTTTTTTCATACATTATACTCCTATAATTACATTTTATTATTTTAATTATGCTTTCAATTCATAATATATAATATATTAAAGGTATACAAAATAATTCTTATAAGTATCTTACTTTATATATATATAGCAAAATAGTTAATAAAGCAAAAAAAAGCTTTAGTTTCTATTGAATTATAAAGAGTCTTAGATTTTTTTATGAAATTATATAATATATTTTCTTATAAGATTTAATATATAATGATAATATATATCTACCATATATTAATTGATCTAAATTATATACTAAATAAAACAAATGAATACTATTATAATATATACGATTATTTCCGAAAGCTATATATAAATAGGTTATTCAAAAGGTTGAGCTTGATTATAGTATTAGAATTATTAAGAGGATTTTAA